CTTCCTAAAATCCTTACCCTCCCAAAATGGATTGTTAAAAATATCAAAATCATTTCTAAGGAGCTTAGTTTGACAGTCCTATATAGTGCCCTACTTTTAAGTTTTATAAGAAAAATGGTGCATTGTAACCTTCTCTATAGAATAAAAAGTCAATTTGAGAGACGGAAATAGAAAGTACAAAAGATAAATTGAATATGTGGGCATGCAGCATTTGAAGATACACCTACTGAAATGCAGTAATGCCATGCAATATCACAGCAAAGTGTAAGAACACATTGGGAAGAGAAGGAGATACATTTAAAGGTCCAATATTGAGCAAAAATGACTCTAGTGATCTTTTAGCCATGTTACAATGTTGTTACTTCTTCAAGAACATAACTTGATTTGTGTTTTGTTTCGTGCACACATGTTTGAGTCCTGCATTATTAGCCTGTCTACATCTCTAAAGCTCAAAATGTTCTGTTCCACCTTATGATGTCATGAAGCGGTATAGTTTTCAAGTTAACAAATACTTTTTACCTTTAGTTCAGTAGAGATCGGCAATTTCAGGCCTGAAATCATTCAAATGATTCTAGTGAAGGTGTATGGAGTTTAAAAACACAGTGGAGTACTTCCTGTATTCACAAAGTGGTGTGAGTAAGTGAATGTTTACTGTGTGAGAGAAGAACACAGCCTAAATATGCAGGATTCGTGTGTTAAACTTGTATGAATGAAACAAAATATAAGTCCCAGGATTTGTTCACTTGACGGTAGGTGGGTACTTTTTTTATTTAACCAATCGCTGCTATTTGGTCACGAGGTATGTAATGCGCAAAATTCCATAGAAAAAAGGGCAATAACATCTTTCTCTTTGATAAAATTCACCAGACATTCTCTTTGTTCTGGCATTAAATCCTCGTCTACATCCATCTCAACCCAGACAGACACTTGAGTTTGACATCATGGCTTCACAGCTCTTCACTGATTGGCCGGAGCAAGGTTTACAACTTCTGGAGTTCTTGCAAACCTTCTAGTGTATTCTGATTCCTGACCTAGTCGTTGGAGAGAAACAAAATTGAGCGGAGACACTTGGTGGCACCAGCCTGGCTAAACAACTGCATAATAAATAGACAATATTTAACATGTCTATTTGGGTACATTACACATTCACTCAATAAGCTTTGACTGAGGCCTATTTTAGTAAAGGTTAAACTGAAATTTAAGTACATCTGCTTGGACACTGCCAAAATAGCTCTTAATTTTGATTTATGAAACAATTGCAGATATTTTCTGATCTGAGCACATCCCATGATAAATGCTCTGTGAACAATAAACACAGATTCTTTAAACCTTAAATCCACTTGAGTCATAACAGCAAACATCTTAAGCATATACTTGTCCACTTGAGGCTATGTGCTGAAAACATCATTAAGCACATCATTATTCAAAGTGACGAGCTCCCAGTTGGCTAAATTGCTTACAAATGGTTCTCATAGTTTGACAAATGGGAGAGGTTAGGACGTGATAATGGAGCCGGCACAGAGCTGTACTGTACGGTCCAACTGCAGTGGTCATCCCCATTCTGTAGATAGCAGCATTTTCTTTAGCGCTAACCTGATCGCCATTGATTTTACATCTCTTTGATTCCCACAAAGAAGACATTTCACTGACAGACTGGTTAGTAGGCAGCTCTGACACTACTTGCACAACCTCAACAACAACAAGCTTCAAAAACAAGACCCCAGCTGCTAATATTTTCATTTCCTCTACAATGATTTGCTGCAAGACAAGCACTGCGCTCTTCTAAAATACATTGCTAACATAGAAAACAAAATGTGAGCTTTGATCCAGTGAATTCAAGCATCAAAGGTTTCTAACAAGTGCGTGTGTGTTCTCAGGGCGGGCAACAGCGGTGGGTGTGGCGCTCTGATTGGACAGTTGACAGCCGTGTTATGACAGATTATGGCCGATAAAACCAACAGCAAAACAACATGTGCAAATTAACAGTGACATCAATACAGCTTTACATGAATGAGACAGTTCCAAGTAAGAGAGATCTTTTGGAAAACCTGTAATTAAAATCTCATTACAAAGAAAATATCTTCTGCTTAAAAGCATAACTACTGATGTTGGTATTAGCCTGGCAAATGCAGCTGTTAACCCACCATGGTGGAGGGGCCGCAACCTGCCTGTCTCAATGGAGATGCTATTGCTTTGATTTTTTCTACAGCATGACATTAAACTTAATTCCAGATGTTTCTAGTCAATAATACCTTTAGAATCAAACTTTCTTTCTGCGAGCAGTGCCACCTCACCACAGATCTGTCCTGTAACTTCAGTTGGAGGCACCACCTGCTTATTTCCATGGGAACAAATACTTTTAAAGGCAATGCAAGTGACAAACTGGTAAAGTGGCAGGCACTACTTCAGGAAATTTACATAGTGAACCTTAACATATTGAGAGATTAGACAGTTTGAGCACAGCTTGTTCGTTTTTAAGGCTACACCGCTTTGTTTTAAATACAGTACTTAGATTTTAATGTGTATGCAAACACTGTTAAAGTTCAAGATTTGTGCCTCATTTCTTATGTTTTCATTGCGATATGTTTAAATCGCTCTCTGTTATTTCAGACCGTTTTAGTGACAGCTTTAAGACCTTGTAGAAGGAGGATCTTTCCCCATCACTGCTCCCAACAACCCTAAATCATTCCCAACGAGCTATTTACGTCCTTCAGGATATAATTCAATATCCAGCTTCCTGCAGATGATCTCAAATTCAATTGGCCCAGGAGCGTGGTGAGGGGAGCACGACCACAAAGAAGGGGGCTGTATTTCAAAGGAAAGTCACAACCATGTCATGGTTAAGGGAATGGTAAGACTGGCCAATTAATCACATTTTAATGAAGAGTGAGATCCAGCCATTTATAATTGTCAGTGATGAGGTTTTTAATTGAGACGTCCATGGCCAATCTACTGTCAGTAAAAGCATGTGGTTTGGAGCAGTTCAGACCAGAGATTGACTGATATTTTCATGGCTGATACTGATGCAGATTGTTTAGAATCCCAAGCAACCTATGGTCAATAAACTCTGCCTAAATTTTGTGGTCAATATATAATATATATGAAAGATTTCCCCCATTTTATGTAAAATAATTTATATTTACTACAAACTCACCCACAGCCCTTTTTTAAACCATAAATCTACAAAAAGAGCAGTTATCTTTTCATACTAAAGAGTTAAAATCAAGACATAAAGCTTTGTAGATACACTAGATAACATGTAGTTCAAAATATTGGCCTGTACTGGAGTTTTAAGGCCAACAGCTGATACGCTAAAAATATTAGTCCGATAAATCCGCCAATCTAGTTCTAGTTCAGACTTAAGAGGAGGACACTGGATTAATTTTTGTGTTAAATGGCATGATTAGAAACATGTCATCTGGGAGACATTTTTTTGAGACATTGGATCACAAACCGTGATTAATCAATGAGTAAAAAAAAAAGTAATTCTCTGTTTTGTTGTTTGTTGCCTGCAGCCATAGCACACGGTGGCTGAATTTGATGATCTTGATTCGGTTTGAGATTTTTGAGATGAGGACTTCAGGAGCATGGCGCTAGCACGCAACACTAAAAATAATTTCCTGTCATATTAAAATGCACCACTGGCTTCTTTCACAACATTCTAGTCATAACATTTTCCACTCAATGACTGCCTCTGTGTGCTCCTTGTTTTGAATGAAATTGGATGTAAGACCGGTGCCATAACAGATCACTGCATGGTAGACAATTCTTAATAAGCTGTCAAACTGTCTAAACTAAAATGAATGTTATACAACTGCAAATACAACTACATTAGGTGTTCAAAAGTTAAGTCTGGTCTGGCTTCACTGCATGCACAGACAATAAAAGTGCAATCGCTCAGCACATGACATTTCATGTTCTAATGAAGGAATATTGATTTTTTACTTGGCTGAACAGCATCAAATTTATCATTATTATACATGTTGGCAATCCATCTGTACGAGTCAATACAGTCGTTTTCAGTTAGATATTTCATAGGCTAAATCTAATTAACAAAAGTCATATACTGTAATGTCATAATTGTTCGTCATATAATAGGATTTGCAGTTTTATAGTTTCAAGGGCATTGGTAGGAGTTCCCTTAATGTTATCTTCTATATCCTCTTCCAACTTACTTTTACCAGACTTATATAACTGATATAACTTTTTTTAGACCGCATTTACATATCCCCTACTAACTTCAACATCCCTCTACCCATACATTCATGGATTCTCCACTACTGCAGATAAACCTAGCTGTTAAAATACTAACTGATTCTGAAACTAGTATTGAAACTAGAAACTTAACTTGACTCTGTACTAAAACAACAACATATGACAGAGTTGTAGCCTTCCCGAATATTTTAGGAAAAGCTTTATCAGAAATAGTAAAACACCATATGACCAAGCTCTCATTAGTGTTGGAATCAAGATTGGAATTTCATTATCTTGACAACACTGATCCAAAACAAATTGGCCACCGGCATTATCTTCCAAACACGAGCAATCTCTTTGATGTACTCATTAGTATCCCATCCACGATACACCCTTAACGTAAAGGTAGACAAACGCAAATCACATTTTTGAGTTTTATCATGATTCATGTACATTTAAAAAGTCGTCTGCTTCTTCTGAAAGTCCACACTTCACAAATTTAGCTGTCAGTCATTCATAACAGGAAAAGTGTGTCTGAAAAAATAGTGTTTGAGCTGCAGAATAAATAGAGAAATATTGAAAGATGATATGCCCAAAATAGCAGACTGTTGCAAGGATGAGATTGTGATTTGATTTTAATCACATTATCAATTCTGCAGCCTTCAGCACTCCATTTAAAATCTATGAAAACTAAGAGGAAGTGAGGGAAAACATTTCTGTTATGGCACTATCTAATATGGATTCAACCTGAAGAGCCCATGCTCTATTTCATTGCTTTATCTCCCACACAGGCTGCACACTCTTACCTTGGCTGCCACAGATGAGCTGGGCTTCTCAAGCAGATCCCACAGCTTTTTGCGTTTCTCGGCGCAGCACGTGTTATCAAACTCCTCTCCCTCTCTGTCCTTCATGTTGTCTGCTTCCCTCTTCAGCTCCTCATTCATCTGTTCCTTCTTCTGGTGGTACCTTGCCTGGCAACACGACTCCAGGTAGATCTCATCAATGCCCCAGTAGTCCAGCTCCTGACTGAAGGACAGAGCACACATCTCCTCCATCATGTGCAGCTTCCCCGTCCTGTAGAAGTTGAGGATGGAAGTGAACGCCCCGGGGTGACGGTCGAAGAAATACTCGTTCTCTTCGAGGTTGTAATCATCACACACCTCCATCAGGGTCTCATGGGTGTTGCAGTCTCGTAGTTTACCCAGTCTCGTTCGGGGCAGGCGGTCCAGGGTCCTCCATAGCACCTCGTGTGGCAGGCCCCCCACATTGAGACGCACCCGCCGGAAGCATGACTTGCTGCGCAGGATGTCGACGGGCTCCGGGGGCAGGGAGGTGGTGGAGCGGGAGCCGGCTTTGTTCAGCTCAGCCATGGTGGTCTTCTCCATGTACACTCTCTTCTGAGGCAGCAGGAACATTGGGTCAAAGTTTAGAGCTCAGTGCAGAGCCTCACGACTGACATAACGAGATCTGAAAAAGACAATGCCAATGTATTGTTAGAACTGTGGAAAAAATCTAAAGAGAGCTGTGATCCTGTAGAGGTCACAAGACACTGAGCTAAAGGTCTTGAATCAATATATTTTTGTAATACATTATTGTGATTTAATAGAAAATCAACATCAGATATTGTGCAGCAGTTTCACAGGGTTGTTTGTGTGGATACTTCTGAAGCCTGAAGTTAAGAGTTCAGAAGGTGAGAAGAGTTAAGAAGTTTGGAAACCCCTGCTGTAGGTTAAACTATTGGAATAAAAAACAGCAGGCAAGAAGCTCTAATTTAAGGTGCACTGTGTAACTTTTCTGGTTTCTGTCATCTGTTTGTCTCCATGGATATATTATTTCTTTTCCTGGAATGTTCCACAATATAGCATTAAACCTATCTTGCTTTTTTTTTTTTTTTTTTTTTTTCACTTTCTCATATACCTTGAGAAACATGCATTCTTGTTGTGAGTGGGCTCACTTCTAAACAAATCTGACCTGTAACTTGGCATGGTGGTCCAACTGCTGTCTCCAAGACGATGGATAAGTTTCATGCCATCTTGGGTAAAAATCTAAGCAAAGCAATACCATCATCATGAAGACAATCAGAGAGTGGATAGTACCCACCAAAGATACACAGTGCTCCTTTAATGCTCGGAATGCATAAACAAGGCATTTTCAGTGGTCCAAGGATTCGATTCAGCAAGCTTTTTTTATAGTGCAGAGAAAGAGAGAAATGTCTCCAATATGTCTGTGTGTTGCATGTTATTGCAATACAAACACTTCTTTGTGACGCAGATATTGATTTTACAATGATTTACATTGAACATAAATAAATATGAGGTACTGCAAGTGATGTAATAGTAACAGTGAACACAAAATGTTTTACCAATCAATCCCTCTCTATACAGCTGAAAAAAACAACTGAACCACTATTCTGTCTTAAAAAATAAATAAATAAAAAATAAAAAATAAATAAATAAAAAAATGACAACAAAAACACTTTGAGGCTTCATAATATCCAAAGGGAAATCACATGAACTATATTTAAATATATGTGTAATTTTGTGTAAATATGATTATTTGATATTTTAAACGAGTCCATTCTACATTAGGCTACAAACTTGTACAGAAGAATTGGTCACCATAGTCAACACCAGCCCTCAAGCGATGACTCACATGTAGCAGTGAAGTCTCATGTTAAAAAAAGACAAGAGGAACACAAAGTTTAAATGCAAAGTAAGATTATTCAAGTCAATAATATACAATAATATGGAGGTCTAAAGTTGAAACGTGGCTGGAGCTGCCTCGCGGTGGCTGAGTGGGGCTGGGAGGAGAGCTGTCCACTGAAATGGTGCTGAAAACATCAGGAAACACTGAGCCGTGTAAACGCAGGTCTTTAGCTGAACCCAACCACCTCCATCTTCTGTTTACCTCAACAAAATGCTTTTCCATAATGCAAGAGGAGACGTGGCGTACCCTGTACATTTGTATATGTTTATTTTCATTTATGAGCGAAAAAAAGAACACTTAGGCCTATACAGATGTGCACCGATCACCGCGATAAAACTTTACAAACGGAGAATAGTGCTTTACAACGAAGAAAGTGTCTAATTTTATGAACAAAGCGCATGAAAATATCTATGGAAATGTTCATTTGAAGGCGTCTCCACCCTTTTGTTCAAGTCAGGGCTTCGATAAATAATAACCACCTCCTCTGCACACGCTGCTGTTGCGTAGCTACTGAGAAAACTGTAATAAAAGCATCTAAATCAGGAAAAACTGCAGTGCTGTGACAGACAAAACCCCCTCATCACAAACATCATCAGTGTTTAATATGATCTATAAAGGGACAGTTATCGGGATCACACTATAAGTCTGTCACCGATAATCAATACATAACATGATTAAAGACTGGACAAATGACATCAGTCAAAGAGCCTACCGTGTTGACTTGTTGTTGATGTTCTGTGGTGGATGGAAGCTGCTCACACCCCTCCGTATTAAAGACATTGTTTCTGCTGGATAACAAAACAGATGTGTATTTTTCCAAAAGATGGTGCCGTAATTAGTTGACTATTGCCAGGGTCTAACCCAATCCATTTCCACTTCCTCGGTTTCCGACATGGCAGAAAGGGAGCGAGAGAGGTCCGTGCCACGGTGGAGGATTCAGGAAAGTCCCGTCCCAGCGTTTCGTCCGCGGGCTGGATCAACAAGTCTGCCCTGGCTCATGCGGACACGTACCTGCGGCTGCCGTCAGCTGTTCGAGGAGGCGCAGATCAGCGGAGGAGCTCCACATCTCTCTCTCATCCGCGCTGCGTCATGACGCTAAACGTGTCACCCGTGGAGACACTGATGTTTGGAGATGGGTGTAGCAGCTGCGTATACAGCCTGCGATATATGATCATATTTTAAGTTCTCCGCAGCGTAGTCATTTGATCTCAAAGGTCCACATGAGCTGAAATCAATGACGGTCTTTGTGGACTTTGTGTTTATTAGCCTCGGTTTGGTAATCAGACATATACTGTAGACCACACTGAATGGGTGAGGTAGTCATTGGATAGGTAGGCCTAGAACTTGGTCATTGCCAATAATCTATTTTTAGGTTTTAGATTCATTTGAATGTATACATTTTGCACAGTATATGTAATTTAAATAGCTTTAACCAATGTAACTTTAGGCCCATGGTATTCTATTGAAAGCAGTCAAGCCAGAAGAGGTTTGCCATTTTATTCAGTAAAAAAGAGCCAGAGTCAAGTGCAAGATAAATATAACCACACAATTATACATACAATATATGTTACACAATATTAAATAAACCCTCTTCTTTCATACTCAGTGCTGTGTTCTCCTCAGCCTGCAGCGCACCTGCAGGTCTCCATGGGGCTGAAGCATCCCAAAGCCGTAGCGACTGGGGTCCACTGGGGGGAGTCGGGCCCCTGGCTCACACAACTCTACATCCAGATGTGTCAGGACCAGGAACACAAACCTGATGCAACAGACACAGTTTAGAGGAACAATAACTGGCAATAATAACTCCCTCCTATTGTGTTGCAATTTGCATTTTAATTTAGGTTCCCCTTGACACCCTTTCAGACATAACCCTCTTCCCTTATCAAAGCAAGAGAGTGCCACAAACACTGTACTGGCATACAACCACTAGTATATCAGGTTGTGTAAATTAAAAGAAAATAAATTACATTTGATAGCATGTGAGGTCGGATTAAAAGTAAAGTATGTTGGCCATGCCTCCACACAGATTTTAAGTCACTAAAGAGTTGCCTGTTTAAGTATATAACCTGGGAACTTATTTAAAGGGCAGGATGAGTGGTTGGTTAAAAACATTTATCCAGACAATGTTGTAGAAATTTCCCTTGAGATGGTGCAATAATTACAAAATGGCAAATGCTTTGATCATTAGTGCAAAATATTCATGTTACATCATCTTAGAGATACAGATCTGAGCAGTGTGGATTATAACACTCACTGTTTGATGGTGAAGACAGCAAACTCTTTCCCCACACACATGTTTCCTCCTGCTCCCCACGGCATGCTGTAGTGCTTCAGCAGTCTCCCATCTTTGTAAAATGTCCTCTTCACCGTCATATCCTCATTTAGGAAGCGGTCATACTTGAACATCTGTGAAAAAAAAAAAAAGGAAAAAAAAAAAGTGATGTTAAAAGCTTGAACATTCACTGTAGTTTCTGTAATTTACAGTATATTTGTATTAGATTAGCTTTAAAGGTGTACCATGTAACTTTTCTAGCAGTAGTATAATATTGCTTTGCCTGATATGAAACTGAATTTTCTTGTATTTATTCAGTTACAGACATTTTATTGCTAAAACTGTCCAACAAACATTCTTACTGTGAATGGGGTCACCTTTTCACAGCCCAGACCTGTAACCTGTTGGTCAAGTGACATTTCAGACATCAAGGAAAGCAATAACATCTCCATGAACAGAAGCATGTGGCGCACCTCCATGTAGTGCACCTTTAAAGGACCTTTCCTGAAATTTCCATAGTATGCCTATAAATATTTAAAAAAACATGGCTGTTTTATAAAGCTATCTGCATTAATTATTGAAACAACTTTTGCACTACAGTGTTGTTTGTTGATATGGAGTACAGTAAATGTCATAGCGCCCCCCCAAAGCTAACAAACACATAGGCTCTTGGGAAATGAGGAGATGTGGCTGAGCTGATTTTTCGAGTCAACTCTTATTTGTTTAATTTGAAGGCGTTTATCACAGTGTCCCAGAGGATCCTCACTGTCAGAGATATAAATTACATCGGTTAATCCTGACATTTGAAGAGGGCCGATGGGGCGGTCTAAAAACAGAGAGGCTCAGTAGGATTCATCATTATAAAGGAGTAATACTGTAGCCGTGGTGCAACAGTTAGGGGTAAAAGTTTAAAATCTTCTGTGCTCTGTATGCATCTGTCTCTTTTCTTTCTGTTAATGTGTTTCTAATGTGCAGTAATTTTCATTCTGATGTGTTAAAAGTGGACTAGGACACTTTTTTTTCTGGTAAAAGTTACGTCATGTGCTTGTCTCCATGAAGTAGTTACTGCTTAGCCTGTGATATTCCACTGTATTGTGGAGTAGTGTTAAACATATCTATCTCCATGGAGACAAGTCTGTAATGCCATCAGGCAAGGTTACAGGTATTTGTGAGCTATTTAAGGTACATATTTTTTGCAATTAAACACAAAAACACATGTAATTGAATACATGAAATAAAAATATATGTTCATATCAAGTGTTAAACCTGTTAATCCTGTAGAACAGACCTCTACAGGTTCTGAAATGTATGCAATTCTTGTATTAGTTATTATTTCTATCTTCTCTGAAATGTTCATGTTCCTGGAAATGTTTAAAATTAGATTTTTAAGAACTCCACTCTTAAAGCAACACAAAAATGACCAGAAATGGCCATTTCCATTCAGTCCTAGATGCACTTGAACTGTCCACTTTACCTGTGGTTGCTGGTGGACCTCTGCGTTCATCTGAGGGCTGAGGAATGGAAAGAGACAGACTTTGTCCCCTTTTCGGAGGAGGTATTCGCTCCCGTCGGCCATGGGCACGATCTTGTCCTGGACCACGTCTCTGTTGATCATTACAGCTGCTGTGAGCCTTAGGGTTTCACTGAGAGCGCTGTCTAAAGAGGACAGGCCAAAGGGCACAATGTCACATCCAGTAGCCTCAGGAGACATACAGACAGGTACAAACCACACAACCACAATCACACGATCACACTCCACAATTATGTGTAACTAAAGCTCAGGTATCAATGTTTACAGCCTGTACATCTCCACACTTGTTTAATCCTGTTATTATAAAACCACCATTACAGTGACTGGTAGCTTGACAAACAGGGTTTGTTAAGCTACCAGCTGCTTGATGTTATAGCCCAATAATAAATATGTGATTTATTTATTTTTTTTTATCGCAGAGCATAATTGTAATCTGGAGTTTCCCATTTGTAGAACAAATATATGAATTTTATGGTTCTCAAATTGGGAGTTGGAAGAACTGATGTCATGATTCTGTAATTCCAAATTTGACTTAAATACCAAAAGGAAAGGAAACCACAATAATGATTACCCCCCCCCATTTTGCTGGGCAATAAAATGTAATTTCTAGTTCATTAATATTTTCTTGTTACCATGTGGTTACCATTTGGTCTTATACTACTTATGAAAATGAACTGGCCACCACTATATTCTAAAACTTTTCTGGAAAGGTACATTTTTGTCCTATCCTATTTGTCATGTATTTATGTATGTATTTGATGACAGTTGGCAAATATTTGGTAGGATTACTATATTTGTGACCCAGCGCTTCATAAAAATAAGATGCATTTATTTTTACATAACATCCCATTGTTTCTCGAACAGCTGTTAACAAAATCACAAATATGCCTAACCTTGTATCATTTATACATGACTGTCCTTACTATGTTATTAAACTGTTATTACTGTTATTAAAATCTCAACAAGTCTTTGTAATTATAATGTGTATAGCTCATATAAGCTGACTCAGTGCATAAAGCAGCAGATGTCTCATACCAAACACAGGTGTGGTGGTGTACGCTCTTGGCTCTTGGAGGGGGGGCGATTGCAGGGGGCTGTCCTGTGGAGTTAGACGGGTGAGCTCTGATTTCACTGCCTCCATGGCCTCGGGGTGAGTGAGCAGAAAGGCAAGGAGCCAAAAGGCAGCAGGTCCGGCATTACACTGGAAAAACAAACACCAGCTTAGACACGCAATCTTTACTCACAAGGATGCAGCCATAGGTCTTTTACTAGAGGGAGTAGAGTGTGCCAATCAGAAAAAAGGTTTTTGGAATTGAAGATGCTTTTCTGTTGTATTATGGAACAGACAGATTAAGTTCTATTCCGGTCTATAGCCAAGAAACACTATTTTCACAGTCTCATTAATGTAAAATTAGCTTATTCCCAAATTAAAATTGATACCAAACTGATGCACACAGAATAATTACTATGTTACAATACCCTCTGTTGTACGTTCCTTACTAAAAGCAATCATAACCTTTTCACCTATTAGGCTGACAAATTAACAAACAAGGATTGTCAAGAATGTCTTATTCTTGGAGCAATTATTGCATAAGAGTGTTACGGCCCCAGGCCTTAGTTGTAATATTTCTGTTTGTGGGCTTATGTGGTTTAATTTGGGGAACTTGTGTTTTAGTTTAGTGTGTGTCCCTAAGTTTTACCACTTGTTTTTTTGTAAGCCTGCGTGACCCCTTTTCTGGCACAAAACTCTGTTAATTCTGTTGTTCTGTTTCTTAGTTTAGGTTGTTTTCTGTATATTTTTAGTGTTTTGTTAATTTACCTTTTACATTCCTGTTAATTAAACATTACTTAATTTATTCCATTTTACATCTTGGTTTTATTTTTGTTACTTCCCTCACCCCAAACGAGCTGGGTCGTAACATAGAGTAAAACACATAATAGGCATACTCTTTACAAAAAAAAAAGTACAGTTTTAGTCCAAATTATCTCCCACTTTTCTGCCTGTCAGTGCTACTGTCTGACTTTGACACAGAAGCAGACAGAGTGAATCAGATCTGTCAAACACCTGAGCCTGCCTGCTGTAATTGCTGTGGGTTATGGGAGCTGTTCTTCTCAACTCAACAGATTTTGGGTCAGGTCTCTACTGACAGCCAGGGCACGCACCTAAAAGATCCACATCAAAAACTTACACAGTAGGAAATAATGTTTGCATTGGGCTGTGAAACCCTCATGTCACTCTTCGGCAGGGGAGTTGAAACTATGGCCTGGGGGCTAAATGTGGTCCTAAGACCGATTTTCTGGCTCTCAGGTTTCCTATTGAATTAGTTTAAGTAATCATAGACACTGCTTTTGTTCTACCACTACAACGTCAATAACATTACATTGTATTGTGATACAGACCTAATTGGAGTTTCAAGCCATTTTAAAGCCTAGCCAGGCTGGTGCCACCTAGTGCCTCCGCTCAGTTTCATTTCTCTCCAGAAACTAGGTCAGGATTCGGAATACACTAGACCAGACATGCCCAAACTATGGCCCGGGGGCAAATTTTTCTTGGCCCTCAGGCTTCCAGGTGAATTGGTCCAAATGACCTTGCATCAATTCAAAAATATTTTTTTACTGCAAGTTTTTTGAGAGTCTACCTTGATAAAGCTTATATTTCATATTTAATGTGTGGTTTTAAGGATTTTAGCATGAAATTCTGAAATTGTGCGTTGCAACACTGGAATTTCCCCACTGTGGGACTAATAAAGGCATATCTTAATAAAGACTGATGGTTCATACTAACGTGTTAAGCATGCACATATTTCAATTATTCACTGAACTGAGCACCAGTCTATGGCCCTTGATCAGCCCTCTGCTTCATCTGTGTTTAGATATGTGGCCATTGATGAAAAAAGTTTGGACACCCCTGCACTAGATGGTTTGCAAGAACCCCAGAAGTGCGAGTCCTGTCACCAGCTAATCAGCAAAGAGCTGTGTTGGCAACGATTCCCGAGATCGAGGATTTAAAGCCGGAACAAAGAGAATGTTTGGTAAATTTTATCAAGGGGAAAGACGTTATTGCCCTTCTTCCTACGGCATTTGGGAAAAGCTTAATATACCAGTTAGCCCCGTTAGCGGTGCATTTCATATGTCACAATCAAATAGCAGTGATTGGTTAAATAAAAAATGTACCCGCTTACCATCCAGCGAACAAATTCTAATGCTGCGAGGTCAGATGGTTTCCACGAAGTGGAACCAGCTGATGAATTAGGGTTAGGGTTAGGGTTAGGCTAGCTCTTACCCTGTATAATGCATCAATCTGTATGGCTCACTGTATTGACCACCATTCTGTTGTCATCCACAACAAATATGTTATAATATCTGGCCTTTGGAAAACCCAGCTATATGTTCTAGTTGAAGTTTTTGTCTTCATTCATGAATGGTTTTAGCCTATTTATTCTCCAAGATATCCTTCTCTTATTGAAGCTTGCTTAACTAAATGTTTCAAAATAAATTCAACTAGATTATGAAATGTGTTTTTGTTCTAATATTAAAATCCATGACAAAAAAATATCAGGGGCATAGAATAACACCTCCAAAATAAACATATTGATAAAATCTATTTCTGTTTGGGTCAATAGAATTGATTGCAAACAGGGCGCTCACACGGGGCTCACAGTGAGGAGTGGGAGGAGGCAGTTGTGAAAATACTACATTTTTCTTTGTACAGAAACACCTTTGTAGTGGCTCTGGGTCTGGCACTCTGCTCTAGTCCAAAGTCTAATCCCTCTATTCTCTGCAGTGGTGATCTAGTTTCCTTTACAAAATATGTGTGTGCTCCTTTATAACAGACCAGATTACAAATAAACACGGCATGAAGGGCCTACGGTGAGAGCAGGTATTTAAAAGGTTTTCACGCAGCGTACAGTGGGTCATAAGCCATCAGGGAAAGAAATGGAAGTAGAATCACAGCTAAAAGTAAAGCTGGGCCAGAAGTAAAATCTGCAACATATTAGCTCCACCACATGGCAGAACAATGAAACTACATAGATGTCACAGAAAAAGGTAAACACTGTGCTGTACAAAGCGAGAGATAAGATATAGTGATGTGGAATTGAATGATAAGGAATGATGTGATAAGGATGCATCAGTGGTCTTAAAACAAGTTGAACAAAAAATAGAAATACAAATGATTCTTAATGATTGTGTCTGCATTATTATGATTATTATTTTGATCGGCAAAGGCAATAAGTGACATTTATCCATCCAAAAATGTTATTGAATAAAAGGATTCCAATAAGGATCACTTGTGCCACTATAGTGTCAGTATAAACCTGGTCTCTGTGCATGTTATGACACATGACAGCTCACACAAACCCATTTAACAATAAACTGTGAGCTGACGTCACCGCAGAACGGAAACGTAAATGTAATGGGAACCTAATAGCATTGGCAAAAATTCACTCTGTGTAACAAGTCAAGGCAAGCTGCTCTGTGTATGAGCCCTCAAGAATCTACTGCGCTCCAGGAATTTCGAAGATCAACCTGGGTGTGGTGCAATATTTTGACAAGATACGCTTCTTTGTTATAGTGTTTTATCGGTGAGAAACCCTGAAAGATGTGCAGATATTAGACAGCTGTTACTAACCTGTGTGGTCCAAAGTTGCAACAGTAATGCTCTAGTTTGCATCTCAACGTCCACGCCCTCTTTTTTTAGAAAATCAATATAGTCCTGCTGCCAGGGTTTGGGCTTCGATTCAAGACATTTCGGAGACAGCAGGTCCCACAGTTTCTCTCGGGCTGAAGTGAACAACTGCGTTTCATCTAATGGAAATAAAAAAATATAGAAAACATATATTGAAATATGTTATCTTTTATATAAATGGCAATGGCAATGAAAGGTATATTGCACATGATATTCAGCGATATATGACAGTTTATTGAGAACCAAATACAGTTTAAATAACAGTATTTATTTGTTAAACCACTGCCTGCACAAACTAAAGGTGCACTGTATAACTTGGTGTAAGGGTCAACAACCTGCTTGTCTCCATGGAGATATTACTTTTTGCCTTAATCATTCATTATTCCACCGTATGGAAATAAACTTGATCACAATGGACACAGGTTAATGGTCAGATTTATCCTGCACACAGGAAGAATCCATGTTTAAGGTATTTTTGGTCTATGAAACACCTATAATTCAACAAATACCAGGGAGATGAGTTTAATACCCTATTGTGAAACATTCCAAGCTAAGAAATAACATCTCCATGGAGACAAGCAAGCAGTGAACCATCCACCTCAGAAGTTACATAGTGCACCTTTAATATGAAATAAACCCATTTATCATCATCAAAACAGTGAATATATAGGAAAAAGCTATTGCATGAACACAATTCTTTTTTCTAAACAAAATTGAAGTAAATTTAGTCAAATTAACTATTAGGTCTAATTAAAATCAATAAAGCAGCCCACAATATCAGTACTGTATCACCGGATTTAGAATCATGATACATTAAGATTATTTCAACATTTTAACAGGCTCCTAGTCTATCTCACTATTAGAATGTAAGTACATCTGATTCACATGTTATTAGATGGTCATATTTATAAAACAGTAACACTATGCAAATGTAAATATATGTAAATATATATAAAATGTGACCATGTGTTGTTTGTGAATCTGACATTGAATAAACAATGTTGTGTCTTACTGCGCTTGAGCGATTTACGAGCCAGTTTGGTGAGACGATCATCAAACTTGCGGAACTCCTTATACACAGCAGAGGCATTGCCTTCACTGCCAAATAACGTTAGATAGCCCGCTCTGAACAAATATAGACATGAAAACCATCTATTAATGACTGAAACTTCACACTGTATTATTAACAGTCAATGCATTTCTTAAATACACCATGTAATGATAGCTTACCTAAAAAGCAAGCTATAACAGAGGCTGAAGAGTCCGTCTTGTCTCCAGTCACTGATGTCACTGAAATCATTCATCAGTAGATTTTGCATGTTTGCTTTCATCTTCGGGCAAAGTTGGGTCAGCCCTCCTGTGTGAAAATGCCTGCATGCAAAAAACATTTGCATATCTAGTTTACACAGATTTGCATTTACGGTAATAGACACTGATTCTCTTGTTTTTCACCCCTCATTTTGCATGTTTAACCATTTTTAGAACTTGGTTTCATGAACATATTCAAATAATTCAAAATAACCTCTGGATGGACATACAGTATATGACTTTAAAATCTACTGCTATAATGAGGAAGCTATCTCTCTCAATGATACAACAACATGAAACCTATCTACAACACTGCCAATGCCAATTTAAATAATGTAATATTTTAAATTTACACTATGTAACTTTTTTGATCCACCACCTATTGTCTCCATGGAGTTGCTTTTGCTTTGCATTAAACATCTAACGAGCATTTCCTTCATTCATTTGGGGTGTTTTTACTGCTCAAAAGCATACACTACCGTTCAAAAGCTTGCGGTCACCCAGACAATTTCTATTTTCAATGAAAAGTCACACTTATTTACCACCACGAGTTGTAAAATGAATAGAAAATACAGTCAAGACATTGACAAGGTTAGAAATAATGATTTGTATTTGAAATAATAATTTTTTCCATCAAACTTTGCTTTCGTCAAAGAATCCTCCATTTGCAGCATTTGCAGCACTGCAGACCTTTGGCATTCTAGCTGTTAATTTGTTGAAGTAATCTGGAGAAATTTCACTCCACGTTTCTAGAAGCCCATCCCACAAGTTGGATTGGCTGGATGGGCACTTCTTGCATACTGTACGGTCAAGCTGCTCCCACAACAGCTCAATGGGGTTTAGATCTGGAGACTGTGCTGGCCACTCCATTACAGATAGAACACCAGCTGCCTGATTCTTCTCTAAATAGTTCTTGCACAATTTGGAGGTGGGCTTTGGGTCATTGTCCTGTTGTAGGATGAAATTGACTCCAATCAAGCACTGTCCACAGGGTATGGCATGGCATTGCGAAGTGGAGTGATACCCTTCCTTATTCAAAATCCCCTATTGCCCTGAACAAATCTCCCACTTTACCAGCACCGAAGCAACCCCACGCCATCACTTTACCCCCACCATGCTTGACAGATGGCGTCAGGCACTCTTCCAGCATCTTTTCAGTTATTCTGCTTCTCACAAATGTTCTTCTCTGTGATCCAAACACCTCAAACTTCGATTTGTCTGTCCGTAACACTTTTTTCCAGTCTTCCTCTGTCCAATGTCTGTTCTTTTGCCCATATTAATCTTTTTCTTTTATTGGCCAGTCTCAGATATGGCTTTTTCTTTGCCATTTTGCCCTGAAGGCCAGCATCCCTGAGTCACCTCTTTACTGTAGATGTTGACACTGGCATTTTGCAGGTACTATTTAATGAAGCTGCCAGTTGAGGACCTGTGAGGCGTCTATTTCTCAAACTACAGACTCTAATGTACTTATCTTCTTACTCAGATGTGCAGCACTTCTCTTTCTACTCTGGTTAGAGCCTGTTTGTGCTGTTTTAAGAAGGGAGTAGTACACACTGTTATAGGAAATCTTCAGTTTCTTGGTAATTTCTCACATTGAATAGTCTTCATTTGTAAGAAAAAAATAGACTGTTGAGTTTCACATGAAAGTTATCTTTTTCTGGCCATTTTGAGCGTTTAATCAACCCCACAAATGTGATCCTCCAGATACTCAACCCGTTCAAAGGAAGGCCAGTTTTACGTATATCTTTTCTACCCAGCTAACTGTTTTCAGCTGTCCTAACATGACTGCACAAGGGTTTTCCAATCATCCATTAGCCTTCTGACACAATTGTACCATTAGAACACTGGAGTGACACTTGCTGGAAATGGGCCTCTATACACCTATGTAGATATTGCACCAAAAAACAGGCATTTGCAGCTAGAATAGTCATTTACCACATTAGCAATGTATAGAGCGTATTATCTTCATTGAAAAAAACAGTGCTTTTCTTTTAAAAATAAGGACATTTCTAAATGACCCCAAATTTTGAATGGTAGTGTACATGGCTCTCTTCTCCACAAATTTGACCTGTAACTTGGTCTAGTGATGTCATCTGCCAGACTCCACAGAGATACATTTAGTTTCCAAGCTAAGCAATAACATCTCCATGAAGACAAGAAGTTGACGGACCCCCGACAGAAAAGTTATGAATTGCTCATTTTAACAAGTGAATTTGAGATCAGTAGATCAAATAACTGATGACCAATAAACTACACACTTGATCTTTTTCAGAAACTTGTAAGAACTAAACCCCAGTGCTCTTTTGACCCCGACTTTCCAAATCTACCATAATTATTAGTGTACTTACTTTTCCATCCATTTCCTCTCGTCACTGTCCTTAATGCCATTTAGCTGCAGGCCAAAGATCCGCCCCAGTAGTTTGTTTCGGCTGTTTCCCACCTCCAGTGAGCCCACGTCATTCAGCACAGAGTCAAACGAGTGAGGATCTAACAGCACCGTCAAGTACATTCCAGCAACACGCACCTATGCACACAGTTAAATGTTCATGGTTTAAGTTAGTTACATAATGATAATTGCTGCAGTGTTCCACAGTATGACATTAAACCTATGTATACTCTTGAAGACAAGCAGTTCAAGCAAATCACCAGGCCAAGTTAATAAGATGAATAAGATGTAGAGAGGTCTGTGAAGAAGCAACCACACTCACAGTACATAATGTATTAAACTGTAAGTACTCTTAATCCAAGTAAATCCGAGGTTTAGACCAATCTTTAGTGACTCATGTGTTGGGTCATGGTTTCTATTAACTTGCGTCAACATTTTTTTGTATAGTGTTTTTATGGACAGTCTAGTCTACAAAATATATTATTCACCCACAGATTCAACATAACGGTTCTTCAGCTAAGTGAAAATACGTATACAGTCAAGTATACAGTATAATAGTATAGTAAAATATAGTGCAAAGTTTTTAGGGAATGTAATAAGACATATTTCAATATTGTGATATTTAGGTTCCCTCTCATTTTCTTTCTTCCTCATCGCTGGTGAATGACATGAAAAAAATAAAACAAGCAACCTAAATAGGTGAATACTCTGCTTTGCAACAAAAATGTTTTTCTGAGTTGTTCCACTTGGACAAGTTATAATAGTCAATTCAAATATCAGAAAAGGTATTGTTGAACATAGTTATAGTTCTCTGGCTATACAGCCCTAATACACTAATTACACAAGTCAATAGTTTATGTTTTCTTACTGTAAATATGTCTCCATGCTTCTTTTTCATCCGTGCCAAGAACTTTGCAGCATCTTTTCCAAACTCCAGGGCATGTCCCAACCAAGGTATGCGCCCTTTGTCCAGAGGTGGCTCATTTCTCCTCCTGTCAAGTCAAACATTTTTCAATAAAGCAGGTTAGATGTTGATACTTGTATAAGCCGAACGCAAACAGAATGAAAAGTTGGGCTAAGCATGTCAGATTATATCAAACAATGAAAATGTACAGTAAAGAATACGTATTTACCTTGTGCGGTTAGAGTACAGGAGAAAAAGTATAAACAGACCACTGAGCACTGCCAAAATTGTCCATACCATAGTTCCTGTAGCCTAGCACTTTCTCACAATGAGCCTCACATGGTGAAGGTGAAGTGCTTTTAAAGAGTTGCTTCCCCTGCAAAAGTCCCATGTCAGGAGGCGGGGAAAGGTGTGGCTAAAACACTCTGGTCTTGCACAACAGAGAAACCAGCATTACCGCAGTAGACACCATAATGACATTAACCTTCTAAAGAGAGCATTCACAAAACAATTAATAATTTCTAATAAACGACTGTATTTCATAATTTCATTACGCAGAAATATTTAAAAAATGTGTGGGCAGGTTTATTTTAAGGCTGAGTCAAAACTGACAGCTGACGCAACATGAGGTTAATAGAAACCATGACCTGTGAAAGAAACATGAATCACTTTTAGATATGTCTATATTTATCAGATTACAGTGGAATGAGTATCAGTATCAGTATCTAATGAATTCATCTAAAAGTAATACGTAAGATGATGATCTACAGAGACAGTGATACAACACTACAATAATGGAACAGATGAACCACTTCAATAAGCAAAATATTCCAATAATAAAACAAAAAAGCCTTCAGAAAATAAAACATAATAATAATAATTTCACAGAGGTATTTAAAATGTCTACATGTAAGTATAATGATCCAAGATAATACAATATACTAGGATATATAAAATGAAAAAAAATAAAATAAAATAAAATAAATGAATAAATACATACATAAATAAAAATCACTTTGGCACTGAGAACACTAGAGGTCGCGCGTTCTCCACACATCTCTGCATACTGTTCCGAGTCAACTAAATGATTTGTTTTGAGTATTCACCATCCTACTGCATAAACAAACACGTGTAAACTAGATAAGTCAAAATATTAAGAAAATATACTCTGTTCTATGGCAAATAATGGGTAGTAGGATGGCGTAATTCACACTGGGATGTTACAGTCAAACTCACGTGCTGCTGGTTTTCACTGAAGATTAACTGAGGTCAGCTCTGACTCTGGATAGTGACATTACTTTGGTCAGATCTCTTTTTAAGTATCGATTCTGTTTGTCAGACTCAGATTGTGGGCTTGTAGGGACATAGACCTAATAATTAATTAGAAGATATAATAATTAGGCGGACAATACGTTTAATTAGCCGATATGGTTCAACTTAACATCATCATCAAACAAGAAACAAGCAAGAAAGGGTAAACCGTAAACACATGTTGGCTGCAGAACTACAAAACCCACGATGACACATAGCCTAATAGATCTACTGTCGACAGAAAACTGGAAGAAAACATATTTGAGTCGCTAAAATATCAAACGCCATTACCACGTTTTATTTAGAATGACTAATGTGGTTTTACAGTGATACAGGGACAGAAAAAATGCTGAGTCGTTTGCCAATTGAATCCCCACTAAGCATTAATTGCGCAATGTAGTTAAATCGAGGTGAAAATAGGTCTGGTCTGATCTGATGAGACATGTTTGAAGTTAGTAGTACTCACAGGTTTGCACTGCACACATCTTTTACTACAACCATCCTTGGGCAGCTCGCTCGACGCGGAGGGGAGGGGCGGGGCGGAGTCTCGCGCTGACTTTCACATCCATTGAGCCTTTCTGCCGCAGCATTGAACTTGTGCAGCGACAGACAGAGAAAAACACACGGAGGACCGGACTGTCGTGCACAAGGCGCCCTGACAATCACTGCCTCCATTGCCTTTTGCCGCTCTTCCGTTCGTGCAGTGATACGAAACCCCGCGCGCCCTGCGGTCTACACTAGAGGAGCGGTCAGGGCAGATGAAAGATAGATCACCATGCACTTTTGAGATCGACGTAGCCTTTTTGAACACAGCAGCGTGAGGATCCGACGCAGGAGGAGCAGCTCGTGGTGTTGCTTTTACGTCTGAAGTTAAGTGGGAGATGATCTGGCTCTGATTGTTGCCTGAAGAAACGCGCTACACAACGGAGCCGCCGCATTGTGGTTGAATAGACGTCCATTGCTGCGGGACTGCACAATACAATCTCCCCAAAATGTCATCTGCGAAAGTCAAGAAGGACAAAGAGATTATTGCCGAATATGAGACCCAAGTTAAAGGTTGGTAACGTGCAGGCCTAGACCTATTTCATGCATTGTGTTTTTGCCCCATTATTGCGTAACTTAACCACAACATTTGCTGGGGTTTTCTCCATAGTAGGATACTACAGGGTGGGACGCCTTTATTAGACATTTGTTAACCCATTCACGTAATGTTTGATTAGTTAAACGTGCAGCCTACTTAAGCCGTTAGTTTTGCCTTCAGTGCTGCATGGATTGAGAGGAGAACAGGATGAAACTTGTCTGAATAACTGTCTCAGGGCTGATTTTGCTGTAGCGCACCAACAAGCCCAGTGCTGCATGTACAATCAGTGTGCCATTTCCACGTTATAGATTTCTGTTGTGGAACTAATATCATTTTCCTTTATGAGGTTTTTGCATGCCCATCTTCAAATGCTGCAGCTCACCTTGAACAGGCTTTTCAAGGCTAGAGGTCATGATCTCTGGAAAGACATTATAAATCAAACAATAGTCTGTTTGATATTAAAGGTGCTCTGTGTAACTTTGCTGCTGCTGCTGAATCTGCCATCTGCTTTGATCCCATGCAGATGTTATTGCGTTGCTTGGAATGTTCCACAGTATGGCATTAAACTTAACTATTTCTAAGGAGACAAGCCGGCCAAGTTGCAGGCCATATCTGCAAAAGGTGGGCCTGCTCATGTTTTCCAGGGTTGAATCCAAGGTAGTTCATTAAAATGCTAGATAGATAAGTTTGATACCATACTGTGGAATATTTCCGACAGAGAAATAACATCTCCATGGAGACGAACAGGTGATGACCCTTCCACCTGAATAGGTACTTAGTGCATCTTTAACATGTTTGACTAGTGAATTGGAAGAAATCTATACAGACTTATAGCGCATTTGTAATTGTCATGACAGAACTTGTATTGGTATTTCCTTGCTATATCTGGCACTTGTGGCTGAGTGAAGAATGAAAAAAGGGAATTCTTGAGAAGGTCACACAGCAAACAGTTGAGAAAAATCATAAATAATGCATGTTGTCTGTATAAATTATAAACCATGAAAGGGTTTTACTGTCTGTGCTAAATATGTGACCGGACGAAGCACCCACAGAGCTGCTGGAGGATGGAGAGAGAGAAGAGGCTCTTGGTGTCTCTGGGCTGAAAAAGTGGACATTTCTTGTGACTGTGTAGGGTTTACTCCATTCAGCATTAGCCACACTTCAGTGCTTCACCTCCTGGGCTGAAGTTTTCCTCCATTACAACAAATGGGCAAAGACAATGTGTATTTGAAGTAGGATTACACCGAGCTGCACACTTCAGACAATGCATGTCTGACATGTCTTCCATACTATGCATTCCTGCTTTAGTTTGTTATTATAGTTGTAGTACATGCTGTCTCCTTTACCTTGCCTGGGGTTGCCATAGTGATGCTTCTTTGTTTTAGCATAATCCTAACTTCTTGTCTCATGCATTCTTACACTTAATGTTGCACAATATGACTTTTTTGTAGAGGGTTTGGCACCATGGCTGAGTGACTAGCACTCATGCTTCACAGCAAGAATAACCGGGTTCAATCCCCAGATCACCTGGGATTTTTGTGTAAGAGTTTGCATGTTCTCCTCCTGTTTCAGGTACTTTATTGTCCCCTTCGGGTCCCCTTCAGGTACTTTATTGTCCCCGAAGTACCTTAACCTGAACCTGCTTATCTCTTAGGAGATAAGCAGCCATCTCTGGGTTAGCAGATGATGTCACCAAGCTAGATCAGATCTGTGGAGAGACAACCCACCTTACACTAAGAATAGATGATAAAATAAATAATAATGCACTAAGGTACTATTGCAGCCACAGCTGACATGGCAGCCAATCTGAGCCATTGACTCTGCTGACGAGCACTGAAACTCATGTACTGATTAAGTATTTCGCTGAGGGTACAATGGAGGGACACATGATGCTGTGAGATGACACCTGTATGGTCCATACAGAAACATACACAGAAGAGGAAAACCATAAGGTTTACATTTGGCATTTTATCTCTCATTCTGTTTTTTTGCTGTGAGAATCAGTGCAGCTCTGCCTTTCGCCTCAGTTTCAAAAAAAGCTCTTAAGCTGACATCTTAAGCTCATTTACAAACTGGCCTTGGATCACTTCGGAAACTTTGGGGACTTAACACTGACAGAGGTGTCCAATAATGCTGAGGCTGCAGACTGGAGACAGTGCTCTCTGTAGCACTTGGCAATATTGATACTTAAAGTGTAGTTTTTGTGCAGTTAAGGTGTGAATATGTGTAGAAGGAAATCCCAGGAGACCTATAGTAAGTGTGAATATACTGCAATACCACTTTATTGATGCCATTAGTAAAACAGAACAGTGAAACCGGATAAAAGAGGTTGAACTGTATTAGTGGAAGTGCTGAGTTGATCTCACATTTAGACAAGTCCAGGGCTATAGCGATCAATGTGACAAACAGAATCTGACTCATGTGCAGTGTTAAGAATTCTCATGAAGCATTTGTATATTTGCATAAAGATCAATATGAATATATATGATTGAATATGAAGAAGAATACAATTTTGGCTAATCTTTTTGTTAACCAATATTTTGCATTTTGACACATTAACAGGTGCACTAAACATGACTTACGATACAGACAAAATATTCGGCTATACCTGAAACTTACGTTCATGTTTGAGGAGAGCCTGTTTTTGAAAATAGAGATAATCCTCATATAGTCCCTATCTGTAGAGCTGTTGCAATACCAAATTGTTAGTTTCAGGTTGATGAAATGTTTTTATTACAATTACTATTAAAAAACAGATATCTTTTGAAAGGTCAGTGGTGTCATCTGTTTGTCTTCATGGAGATACATTTAATGTCATGGTGAAACATTCAAGTCAATTTAATACAATTTCATACTATTTCCAGAAAGCAAGTAGTAAACCCTTCACTAGAAAAGTTGTGTAATGTACTTTTAAACTGCTGCCATAAACAGTCACATACTTGTCACAGTGTTGTCTGGGCCATACTGCCACCGCACTGTATTTAGTGCATTCCTGGAGCTGCACGAGGACACGCCCTTCTCAGTGTCATCACAGCAGAAGAATGCTTTTGACTGATCTGTCTTCAAATGTCAGGCAGTGTTACAACACCTCAAATGTCCCCATTGTCACTGGTGTTTCTGGGACATACTTACTGATATGAACTTAAGCGATAACTTGACCTGGCTGTGTCCCCGTAGCAGGGGTATAGTACCAAATTCTGGGCCATGGTTAAATGAGTACCTTTCACTCCCCCAGTCTGACGCCCCAGCCTGCTAATCTCCATTGAGGCAGATAAGTTTAATGTCAAACTGTGGAACATAACAAGCAAAGCATTTCCATGGAGGTGGTAGACTCTCTACCAGAAAGTTGCACAGGTCCCAAAGAAGTGAAGGAAAGTGCATCTGTGTTTCAGGCTTGAGCTGTATTAGGTAAAAAAAGCATAATTAAATATGGATGTAAATGCTATCTCGTTATTACTGCAAAGTTAAACACAAGACCACAGGCATTATGAGAAATTATGTCAACGTGTCAGTCTGGGTTAGTGCACATGTGACCATCCACGCATGGCTAAACACAGACACTGCACGGAGACACTGTGAGGCCATAATGACCACAGGGACTCCATAGTTTGTGTGTCTGTGCTGATGAAATATTTACCCCAAAGTACTGACCAAAATGAGCAGGGTAGATATACATCCAATGAAACACATTTTCCTCACAAACAATCATATAGTATTTACAATCTACATGAACAACATAACATATAGAATCAACTCATCTATACACAATAGGCTAATTTTCCAGCTATAGCTACCCCTGCCAACCTAGCTCAATGTTGCTGTGATTGTCCATGCATTGCTGCTGACAGGTTGTCCAAGTGGCATTGCTGGGTCAAATGCACCGGACAAATTTCTGTTCAATGACTAAGCACAACATCCCCAAATTAGTTGCATAACACAACACAACCCAACCAAAACTTTCATTCCATCTGCATTTTAGATGGTTAAGACAAATACAAAACCACCATAAACAAGTTCTGTCTAGGCTTGTAATTTGGTTGTGTTTCAGGGTGTGTTCTGAGGTGTAACAGTGAGGTCTCCAAATATCCCTGTGCAAACAATAACCCATTTGTCAAGATAATTTAATCCACCTACATGAAGTCTAGCCTGACCATGTAATGAGGCTTATGATCTACCCAAATGACCCCAGGAGATAAAAGCTGAAGTTCTCTTTAGGTCTGACTAAGCCTGCATTATTTACACTTGGTTCAGTACTGGTTTGAGCCCAGTTTAGTCTTGATGTAGACTTGGATTAATCATGTTCAAGTTCTGGTTTATTTTTGGTCTAGTCCAGTATTAGCAATAGTGAAAAGTATAATAATATAGGACAAAAGTGGACCTTCCCTGAAAAGTTTTACAATAGTCATGGATCTTCATATTTATGACAACTAGTAGACAGCATGATCATTTTGAATCAGTTATTTTGTAGGGATGTAACAATAACTGATAACAATAATATCAAGAGCTCCCACAATATATATCGAATTATAAGTTCCTTTGCTTAAATGCATTGTTCTTTAGTAGGAACAGCTACATATTCCATGATTCATTTCAGCACAGACAACATGAAGAAATATGTTTTTTATTTGAATTCTTGGTTATTCCAAGAGTATTAATTTGCACCAAAACCTTGTCAAGGTATTTTAAAAGCAAAAAAGTGTCCTATGTAGTATTATATTTGCCACTCCAAAATATCGCAATAAATATCGTACCCTGAGATGCATATTGTGATAATATCGTACCCAGAGATTTGGATATCGTTACATCCCTGTTATTTTGTATTAAAATTTACATTCTATTAAAGAGATGGATTTTAATTGCCATTGTAGTATAAAAATTGATAAGTTATTAAGCCTGTTCTTTAGTATCAAAAATAAAATTGAGTTTGAAATTTTAGTATCGTGACAACTCCAGAATGCACTCAGACAATCAGATTCTTAATTGTGACAAACCAACAAGAAATCAAGCACCAAATTAAGACATAGAAAATAGGACCTTTGTCTTTTGGTAAATTTTTAAATAACCTCCTTTGAACATTGCGATGAGGAAACCTAGAGCAGCACGTAACTCATTTAGGTCAATTCACGCTGTTGTGTAATCTGTGCAGAGAATGAGCTATATTCTGGTTAGTAGTCCTGCTCCTTAACTTGTAACTAATGGAAGTGTTTGCAGTCTTCATGTGATTATGCGTTACTCTGAAGGCTTGAATCATTCATTGAGTGCAGCCCAGTGGTCCCTCGTAAGAGTTTAGGATCTAAAAATAACAGCTCCAGCAGAGAGTGAATGCAAACAGCTATTTCTATATTTGATGTCTCACTGTTGGAAATATGTACTGCTGAGTCTATTTAGGAGAAGTCTGCTTGTCCATGTGCTATTAATATGTACGCATTCCTTCAAAATAACAATATAGCATAAAATACTGCACAATGTATTAGTTTTGAAGTTGATCATGCAAATTTTGGATGTTTAAGTTTTTAGTATTATTTTTATGTAGGTTCTTGATTGGACGACTACCTGAATGGATTGGCAAGATCTGTTTGACTCTAGTACATAACAATATAGGACCTCTAAAAGTATTTACTTGGGTGGTCAGAACCACATGCTTTGACAAAACTGTATGAAGACAAGTGGGCCTGGAACTGTTTCCTGTCTCCTTGATAGGCAGATTGGCCAGTCAGAGAGACTCTTGGTCCATTCATGTCAAAACAAACACGGAAACTTACATGCAAAACAGCATATCAGAGCACCAAACTCCAGTTTATCTCAGGTAAAAGAAATATATTTTGTTCTGAATGTTAGAACAATTTTCAAAAGGAGATGTCATTTGAGGGACACGCGTTACAAATTAGTGATTGTGGTTGGACCATCCCAAGTTAGGACGGAGGTTTGACATGTCTGGTCACACTTATATTACTTTTGTTTATTTGTAAAGCAGTGTTATGGCAAGTTATTTATTATTAGTTAATAGGTATTTGATGTTTTTAAACAAGTCAGTAGCATCCCAAAGTATGCAGAGCTGATTGGCCATGTGGAAATGTGGAAATGTGAAAATTATACAATCAATCTGGCTTTATTTACTTTTCCCAATCTATTCAAGAATGTTGTTATTTGATGTAGCTTAGCATCTTATGAGCTTGTTTGTTCATGATGTTTACTGAGCATTTAGCCACAGAGAAAGTTGTTGGTTGTGCTAAACAGACTGACTGCTGTGAGTGTCAGAACAGAGGCCTTTGGGCAGTGGTATCCAGGCAACGGGACAAATTATGGGGACCACAAGGGGAACATGTCCAAAACACACAGGACATTTTCACCCATGTTTTCATTCATGTTTTTGCATTCACAAAATTTACTATTGAAGCTTTAGGTTCAGCCACTGTGGAAATTTAAATAGAGACAGATGCAATTTTTAAGACAGATGCAATTGTAGAGCTCAAAACTGAATGGTAGAATGGTGCCCATTGGAGGAATATATTTCAAATATTCTGTTGTTTTTAGGGATGTTACAATATGAAGCAATTATTGGGTTAATTATGATTTTATGATTATTCACAAATTTATTCAACTTTCAGAATGATAATGTAAAACCTGTATAATCATGATGCTCAAATAACCAAAGATTGACATGGTTGTTTTTTATACATTTATGTTCTCATTCAACTTACGGGGTTGAGGTTGATCCTTAAAGGTCTTATATTACACAGAAATCTGTGAGATTTAGCCATGTTATAATGCTGTCACTACAGCAAAAACATACCTGGAGTTGTGTTCTGTTTGATTCACACATGTTTGAGTAATTTATTATCATTTGTCTGTCTACATCTCCAAAGCTCAAAATGCTCTGTTGCACTTTGTGATGTGTTGAAGTGGTAGGTTTCAAGTTAACAGCTACATTTTACCTTTACTTTTTGTTAAGTAGAGACAGGCAATTCCAGGACTGATGAATCATTCAAATGATTTTAGAGAAGTATTGAGTTTAAAACACAGTGGAGCGCTTCCTATATTTCCGCATGATATCACAGGGAGGAACAGAGTGTTTTCTGTTTAAAAACAAAAAAAGCACCTCCTAAATATGTAGGGTTTTTGTATTAAACATGTGTGAATGAAACAAAACACAACTCCAGGTATGTTTGTTATGAGGAAACAACATCATAACACAGATCATTAGTGTAAGGTGTGCTCTTTAAGTTTGACTAGATTGAATCATGGATACATTATTTCCATTATTATCTGATTCCAAAAAGCAGTAAATTAGCAATTACCAAATACCTTTTTCTGTTTTGTTTCATGCAGTGTCCCAAAATCTTTCTAGGTTGCATTGTCTAATCCTTTATTCTTGTCGAAATGGCATTTAGTTCAAAACAATAGGTCTCTTCTCTCAGGGGGCAGTCTTTTCCATTGATACAGCCCTCTCAGCGCACAGCAATAATACTATGCATGGTTGAAACACTGTGTCATAATGAAGCTTCAGAGAGGCTCTTTGTACTTCCTACCATGTGACATCCAGATCAGACGTCAGCTGTGCATATATGTATTTTCATCTTCTCATTAGAAAGTTGCTGAACATTCAGTACTTTCAGTAGTGTATAAAAGAACATTACAGTAGTCAAATGGTAGGCCCATCATAATAATTACTATATTGACTTATTGTTCAGAATATGATGGAGAGAACAGTAGACTGTTGGGAATGTTGGGTCAGTTTTATTATTTGCATGTTTTTCTTGCAGTTGGGTTTAAGTTGGACAAAAGTAAGTTCTTTGATTCATTATCAACACTAACTAACAGATAAGCTTGTGAACTTAATGACAGTCAAAGTTAAAACTTAAAATATTGCTGCTGACTTTTTTTTTTTGGAAGATTAAAAGTTTCATCAACTTTAATAATGTGCCTTCATATTATGTGTTCTCATTTATTACATATTTGTAAACTTAAGAGACAGAATCTAAAAATTTATGACAAAGTTATGAAAAATGTAGACAGTGACTTTTCACCAAACAGCATAATTTCCTAAGTGAAAAGAGCCATGCATTTTAGCCTAACTTTCTGAAGGCTCTCTCAGTACAATGCATTTTGAGGAGCTGACCTATTTTCGATTTTCCGTGCTGTCTGCTGCAATCATCAGACATGCATCTCCAGCGCACGTGAGCCTCCCCAGCATTAAGACCCCCCCTCGACCCCTGCTCTGCTCACACAGCACACTAAATGCACTCTGACATCCATTTTTATCCAATTATTTGGACTGTGTTTCCTTTATTAGTGCTTACACTCTTGGCTTAGATGGACCCACGCATGTGTTTATGTACATGCTATGCTTTTGTGTGGCTTAAAGCTTCCTGACCTGCAGAAATGTCTGGCACGCAGACTGAGTGTTGTGTTCATACTTTACATCCAGTTTGTAAACACTTGCAAACTATTGTGCTAGCTTGGCTTTTTCAGTTCCAATATTATGCCTTATTTCTTGTATATATCTATTGATAGTTGCAATTACAGCCAAAAAACAACATCGATAATACAAACAGGATGCTAACTTCATAGTGTAGGCTATTTAAGTGTGATGGTCATTTGTGGGTTTCAACTGTAAAAGGGTTGCCCCAGTGGCATTGAAGGGTGGGTCAAATGGGTGTAATCCCTCATTTGTCCGGGAGTGGTGCATCGTAGAAAAGGTTTCAAAAGTAGTCATCTGGAGAATGTCTGAAATTTGAGATTGAGACATTTTGGCTGCCAGAAGAAATTTTCAATCTAAAGTTACTGACCTGGGAAGCTACAGTTTATACTGCCCTGAACTAGAAATTAGTCCTTCTCTGAGCTTTATAAACTTCAGAGTAGAGCAGACTTCTACATCTGTGTCTAAACATTTCATTTTTTATGTATCTCTCATACTACTAATGCCTGTCTTTATATTAACCAGTTGTTGTGTCTCCTCAGAGATCCGTAACCAGTTGGTGGAGCAGTTCCGCTGTCTGGAGCAGCAGAGTGAGTCTCGACTGCAGCTGCTCCAGGACCTGCAGGACTTCTTCAGACGGAAGGCTGAGCTGCAGCTGGAGTTCTCCAGAGGACTCGACAAACTGGCTGAGAGATACTCCTCCAAGATCCGCACCGCCAGAGAGCACCAGCACTTCAAGTAAGTACTACTGAAACCAGAGTTTTACCAGTCAAAAGGCTCAATACTCAGTATTTATTTTGATACCACAATGGCGAAAGAAACACATTTTCTAGACTATAGAATACAATTTTCAACACAAAATATGGTAGTTTTTTCAATATTACTTTGTTGTAAAAATAAACTGTATAGATTAAAACCCTTCATTAATTATTTAGGAAATGTTCAACTTAGTCCGTTTGATGTGATCTTTTTCAGCATCAGTACTTTATAGTTTCTAGTTTTGATACTAGTTTTACTATAAATTTTTGTATATCTTACATTTTAAAGGAACACAAATCTATGCAGAGGCAAATCCATTCATACTACCGGTAATTAGGTTAGGGTTATGTTATGGGTTATGTTTTAGCAATAAAATACCAGTAGTTAATGCCATACTTTAATGCTATACTTGCACTTCCACACAGAACACTAACATCTCCATGGACTATTCACTAGAAAAATTACAAAGTAGTGCACCTTAAAGATCTATGAAATAGACTTAAATCCGTAAATAGGAACAGGTCTTTCTCAACCTTAAATACACATGATTTTATTATGCTTAGTCAATCACATGTAATATACAACAGTACCTTAAGCAAATGAAGCTATACCACCTATTAGGACTAAATGAAGTCTGATTCATTGTTTCTATACTTTCACGCATCCACAGTGACCACACAGAGCCTTGACTGCCAACAGAATTACAAACAGACAACAGTGTGCTGCACACACACACACACACGCACACACACACACACCCATACACACACACACACAAACAAACACACACACGCACACACATACACATACGCATACACACATACATAGCCAGGCCAAGACAGTGTCCTGAGGCAGCTGTATTTCCCCAACTAGGTCACTCTACCACCCCCCTTTACTTTTAATGTGACTGTCATGTCTGCTATCAAACAATTGCCCACTCCACACAGCCTCAATAGTTTCATTCTTTCACTGAAAATACTCGAGACTGGAAACAATGCGCTTGGTTTGATCCAGATAGAGTCAGATTGTTGTGTTAGCGTAAGAGAAACTAACATGTACCCCATAGCAACCCGAGGTATTACTGCATGGATGCTCAGACCAGCCTTCAGCTTAATTTGACTTTTAGATCATGCTCCTCTACACTGCACATCCACATGCAGTTGACTGGAAGAATCAGATATAGGGCTCTACAATACATAGCTAATGTATTGTTACGAATCCAATGTCCAATAACTAAGGGTGCACAGTATATTGCAACTGAACTGAAATCACAATTTGAGTGGGCATATTATTAACAGAAATGGCTGCAATTATTTAGATAATACGGATTCACCTGCAGAGAACAAAATATCTTATATGTCAAAATGTCTTTACATAGAAAAAATGTTATACCTGTAGTTTAGACATCTACAAACCTGTTCTGAAATTCATGGGATTCTTTTATTAGTTTAACTAATATTTCAGTATTTTATCTAATCTGAATGCTCCAAGAGTTGTTTCAGTGTGCCTAAGTAAGCCTAAATGAAAATGCTTTTTATTTGGCTGCTTTTGCCACATCAACACATTAACTTTTTTCATGTAGAAAGTTGATTTCAAAAAGTTTGTTGCATACTAAATGAATAGTAATCAAGACACAGGGAATGAAGTAAACTTGAGGAGTTCACTGTTGCTTGGTCATGAGTAAATAAATGTGTATTCAATTTTTAAAATGTATTTATTTTAGTATGGATAAAACCACAGCTAATACTTGCAATATTTTGTTCCAATGAGCTCTTACTGTTTATACATATCCAGCTAGTGTTGTTATGATACTAAAATTGATACATGATACTCAATTTCAATTCTAAGTAATAGATGAATCAACACTCAATACCAGTTCCAAGAGAATGATAATAATAATAAAAAAAAACGTTTTCTTTAGACAGTAGAATGCAAGTTTCAGCATTAAATCATGTACTTTCTCTTATATTACCATCTGGTCTAATATCTGTGTAATGCTTCAGTTGTCGAGGTTGGTGCCATAGTGGTCCATAGGCATATACTGGTCTATGTGCTCTGGTACTTGTTCTGATACAGCTCCAGACCATTCTGAAGCTTCACTTCTGTCCTATGAATGTGTCTTTTTCAGTATCGATACTATACTTACTACAGCTATTGTAAGTAGACACTGATTTGAGTATCGATTAGTATCTGATTTCCCGATACTTTTGATGACACTATGCCCGACAGCACTGCAGATAACCATTTGGACATTGATAAGTGAAGCATTAGCCAGAGGGGAGACCTGAGAAAACAGGCCACATAATCTGTCTTTACACTGGTGTCCTAGTTTCAGCCGCGTCATTTTAAATGGTCATCAGTGAACCTGCCAGTCAGTCCAGTCTCATGACCTCACCACAATGAATACACTCAAGTCCCTGTTATTAAACTTAGCTCTATAATCTATGACCTATTATTGTATTGTAATGTAACACAAGGATTGGTTTCACAAAATAAACTCAGGAAACAGTTTAGGAGCCACTGGTAGCTGCAGTGTTCATTCTGAGACCACATGTTTGCTCAGTGGAAACTTTGATTGGTGTGGTGAAGTTATGGTTGCACCAACAGGAAGTGAGTACACATATGAGCTTTCTTGAGTCTTGCTTTCATCATCGTTTGACCCACTTCTGAGAAACTTGAAAACTTGAGTGATATTCTTTGGAACTTGGGAAACGTTTCTTTACCATGCACCCTGCCCTCATGATTATAAAAAGTACCCAACAGGTAGAGCTGTGGGAATAAATTATTGTATTGACTGATAACTTTTCAAATTTTCATATTAAATATAAACAAAAATGGCAGCCTTTATTTAATTATTTCCGCACATAAACTGTACAGACTTTTAATCAGTGCAACATGTTTTTGCTGACAGAGATTTAAAACCCCAAGCTGATCCTTGATGATTTGAAATAATTGGATCTTGGTTTGATTAAAATCTGATTAGTGGAACAGCTCTACTAACAGGGCAATCTTATTAAATGGCATATTGTTGAAAATTGATAAAATTTTGTATTTTTGTTGAAAAATGACCAAATATTGTTACAAAATGTTAATTATCCAGAACAATAGATAAATGCAATCAGCAAAGCCATTTTACTCTATCTCATCTACTGTCTAATTGATGTATTCAGATCTTCCTGAGTGGATAATCGGTCTAATACTTGTTTGTCTCTTCTTTAGGAAAGACCAGCACCTCGTCTCCACGGTCAACTGCTGGTACCTGGTTTTGGAGCAGACGCGGAGGGAGAGCAGGGACCACGCCACCCTCAGCGATATCTACAACAACAACGTGATTGTGCGGCTGGCTCATATCGGAGAGGATGTCATCAGACTCTTCAAAAAGGTCAGAACAGAAAAGAAGCTACAGCCCAAAACAATTAGTAACTCGGACAGATTGGGTAACTAATGGATACAATGGAAAACATGGCATAAAGCAAACAGACATTTTGTATTGTCAACATTAAGGCTTCAGTTTTATGGTGATCATACCTAGAGCTGGGCGATATGGATCAAAAAATATATCTCGATATATTTTGCTATATCTCGATATACGATATATATCTCAATATCTGTACAGGAAAAAATAACCCCCTAAAACTGAAAACTGCAAAAACAAATCTGCCAAATTCCACAAGGTCCTTTTTTTTTTTAAATTAAAATGTAAGAGGTCAGCAGTTCATATAGGAACATTTAAGATTACAAAAAACCCTAATTACATAAATGATAATTTAACTGTAAAATAAAAGAAATAAAACATATTTCCTTCTTTTCATTCATAAATAAAACAACTCAACACAAGCTTATCTTTGCATTAACACTGTTATCCAGACCATAACCAGAACTATGAGCTCCTTTAGCAGAAGAAGCTCAGGATGTTCTTTATTTTAACAGATCCATGTTCCTATCCAGCAGTAAGGAGCTCTGAGGTTTCCCACAATCCACTGCAGATCAAACCCAACGTTTCCAAACTCTATTGTACAAAGTTACACTGCAACAGATTATTAATAAAAATCTTCTGCATAAATAGAATTTACATGACTAAACTTTACAAGATATATAGCATAACGACTCTAGAGCCACATCAGCCCGTTTGAGATTACAATGTGTGTTTTTTTTTTTTTGCAGCTTTGCACAGACTTGTTTACGTTTTACAGAAATGAAATTGAAAAAGAGCAGGGCTAATTTGCATAAACAGCGTACTCCACGTGCTGCTCATGCGGTTCAACTTCTTTTGAACTAAAGGACACGACTTGGTGGAACATGAGGATGTGCTGCTGGTGGTTTTGTCTGTAAATGGTGTAAAAGATTCGTGGCGCTAGAAGCTTTTCACTGGCACCAACTTTCGGCGTTCACGGCGATAGTGAGGAGTGAATGAGACACGAGCGAACAAAATCAGGGAGGCGGAGGCGCACGGGCGACGACAGAGAAGACAATCAAGCGAAGCGGCGAAATCAGAATTGAATATAAGCATTATCTCGATATATACGATATGTCAGAATTGATATCGAGTTTAAAAAATATCTCGATATATTTAAAATATCGAAATATCGCCCACCCCTAATCATACCTAACATTTTATAGTTTACATCTTCAAAGGAGGAGAAATGGAAATTAATTGTATCGTTAATTTGTAATCTGCATTTAAAAATGTACTATATATCTTTTCCAATGCACATTTGTCTATTGTCTGTTGTCTTTCCACAGATCTGACAGGTAAATTGGCCTGGTGGCATCACATAGCATAGTACACCTTTAGACAAAATGCCAGAATAGTAGTTATTATACAGTAGTTAGTTGCTATTATACAAAATTAGACATCACAGCAGTTTCTTGGCAATGTATTTTTTATGCAGATTACGCATATTCTCTCCGTGACTGCACAATAGGCTAATTCTCATTAGCCGCCCACTGCTCCAGACAGGAGGCCTCTACATTATTGAAGAATTGGTTGAAAGTAGAGGACACATTTGCCTATCAACACAAGGCAGAAAATTACTTTAATTGATTAACACATGATAGAAACATAGAATGTCTGTCTAATTTTCCCAAATCTTGGATGTCTCTTGGTTGATGCAACACAATATTTGGTGTATATTATTTTACATGATCATTGTAATATAATATATAAGTAACATAAATTGACTTCAGCATAAAATAACCAAATGGAAAAAGGTGATATAGAAAGGGTCACTTTCACTTTTTGAGTGAAATCTCTTATGTCCATTACTACAAGTGTGACTAAAGCCAACTTCTGTGCTTTACACCTCTTGTATTTTCTCTTCTAATACTTCTGAAAGCCCCACATAGTGCTTGTGATTTAAAGCTGTGATGAAGCCTTTGCCTTTGGGATGTTAGATCACTATCATTTGACAGCAGCGGCACTCTGATAATTTATGCCCAGAAGGAGGACAGGAGGGAGGAGGGAAGAGTCCTGGGGAGAGGAGAAAGAGCAAAGGGGCACATTGTATCCCACCACAAAGAGGGCAACTTATAACCTATAGTGGGGATTGTCCAATATTGATTTTTCTAACCGATACTTATATCCTGTATTTGTCCTACTGTTGAGACAAATAATAGATATTGGCCTCTATAGTAAGAATAAAAATTATGTAAATTTATAGTAAGGTTTACAAACTCACAAACATTTCACCTTTGTAAAAAAAAAAAAAAAAAAAAAGAAAAGAAACAATGCTCTTCTACTTTCATTTTTACGAATTAGTCTGTTTAAAAACCAAATCTAATGCACTGAGGACAAACTGGGAAGGACGCTTCAAAGGCCAAAATCTGCAAAGTGACACAAATGATAACACATCCAGTGAAACAATAATCTGGTTGTACTGTCACATTCACACTACTGCAGGGCTAATGAATTACAGATGTACTGGAGGAATGAGTCAGGCCTGGCTTCTGTCAAGTCTGTCAAGCCAAAGTCAAAATGTGCTTATTGTGCTAAACTTTGAATTCCTGTCACATTTACCACAAAATGCTCCACTGCTGTTTTGACAAGTGGTCCCTGGGATGTGACAAATAGCAGGACTGATTGGAGCTAAGCGGGGTTGTATATCGTCTCTACAGGATTTTCAGAGCCACACTTCACCGGGCCCTAAGCCTCGTCACGGGACATGTCCGATTCATCATAGGCTCTTAGCTTCTGTAACAGAGCTGGAGCAGAGACACAAGCAGCTCAAATGTGCTGCAGTTACCGCTTCAGTCTGAGCTATTTTTGTCTCTGTGAGCACTTTGGGCATTGTATTAGGTCTCCTCTGGTGCAGGCCGTGATAACGTTTTACTGAGCGCTGACAGCCATTCGCAAGTCACTACTGGCACAATGCATTCATTTATTACTAGATGTAAAAGTAGTGAGGCATAAGTTTGTATACTTTCACTTCACTGGAATAACTATCACACTAATAAAATAAAATAAAAAATATTATAATGGGTTATTTGTTCTACTTGCATACATTTTAGAATACATGTTAGTCCCTCCATCCATCCATCCATTTGTATATTCAAGCACTAAGAATGCACTGGTTTGTGACATTTAATATTTCTTAAACTTAATAATGCTTTATAATATTTACACTTTAATTAGCCTTAATAAACTCCTTGATCAAGAAGTCTAAATCAGTATTAATAAACATTGTTTATTATGAATCTGAATTATGAAAGTCTTTGTTCATGCTTTAGTAAGGCTAATTAATGTGTATTTATTAAAAGTGGTTTAACATTAGGCTTACTTAAAATACTATGAATTGTAATGCCTAACATTTATAATGCACTTTACAGACTTGTCGAAACCTCTGTATGCTTCGCGTTCCACTGTAGTCATTATTCATTCATTCTACTCTCAGTGGTGGTAAATGTCAAAGATAAATCAAAAAACATTATACCTTTTCTTTTATTTTTACAGAGCAAAGACATTGGCGTCCAGATGCATGAAGAACTTGTGAAAGTCACCAATGAGCTCTACACTGTGAGTAAACCTCAATGATCCCCATATCACTGTCAACATTTAAATAGCAATATCAATAATCATCATTAATGTCAAAAATATACTGTCTCATTATGTATAAAACCTGCTAATCCTGTAGTTCAGACCTCTGCAAACATGTTCTGAAATGGATGTGTGTCTTCTTGTATAAGTTTAACAGTTCAATTTTCAGTCTACTCTCAGTTATTAATGGCCTTTAATGTATTTAAAATGTGTACTGTGATATCTCAAATCTCTAGTCACAATCTCACTTACTTGTCAGAAAACTACAATTGGATTTTTTCTTAAATTGTTCAGCCTTACAGTTCAGCCCTGTGGCTCTTACTTGTACTACAGCAGCTGCCCTGACTGTGCTCTGGAGATAGGCCTTATCAGCTCACTGCTCCTGAACAGGTCTCTTCTTCCTTGTTCTCAGGGTCACAGAAGGAGAAAATTAGCATTCCTCCTCCTGCTGTGCCTTTCCACATGAGCTGAAGGATAGAGCGTTCTTGCAACGCTCAGGGCACAGTCAGCACTCTCTGTGCTGTAGGTGCGCTCAGTAAACATAAGCAGCTGTGATGTTAGCGGCTAATCTAACATGTAACTGGCCCTATCAGTGTGTGGTAATGGGATAACATGTCAGAAGGTGCATTTGAGAATGTGGTTTAACAGACCAATACTGTACATGCATCCACTATTGAAGTTTGTATAGTGGTGCAGAGGCAGTGCGGGTACTATTTGTTGTAAGTAGAGGCAATATTTTGAAGATTTGAATATAGAAAAGAGAAAAATTATATGAAAGAAAATACATTTGCCGTTAAATCTTCAAAAAAGGTATATAGATGTTTTGGGAGGAATCATTTTTCTATCCATTCATTTTTTTTGCATGTTTTCAGTACATTACTGATGGATTGCAAAAATATAATTTGATTATAGGCTATCCTCAAATATATTAAAATATTTGTTTTACGTTTACATGTATTTATGATTTATTTTACATGAGGTGGCAGAAATATTTCCCCATTCCATAGGTTAATGGTTTTATCCCATTGTAAAAATATAATATGACCAGTCCATCGACTTTTATAGCGATGTATTTTGTCTTACAGCCCTAGAGCTACACAAAAATCTCTATACAGACCAGTTGTTGTTTTTTTTAATGCACAAATGCTTCTTAAATGAATCATTATATGGTCTTTCTTTGGTGATTCTATTAGGCATTAAAAGACTAATCTAATTATGTTAGATTTTTTCTAATGGCTACATACTCTAAGACAAGATCATATTGATAAAACTCAGCGCCCACCATTGTCAAACAGCTTGTACTTAATCACTTGTCTCCTAATTAGAAAGATATTGTCTAACTTTTCACAGTTATTCATGAAAATTAAATTCAATGAAAATTATTAACCAATGAAAATATTTGACATGTTGTATTCCCCACCATTGTTCTTCCTTGGTTTCTACATTAATAAGTCTGCATACACAGGGAATAATGATTGGATTTTTTCTACATGATACTAGCATGACAGAGATCCAGACTTATCCAGGCGTGTAACATTATCCAGCACTTTACTGTTCTCCTCATATTGATTTTTCCTCAGTGCTCTTCATGCATTATTTAACATCTTCAGATCTCACACAGACAGCATAAGGAATAGCTGAAGACTGTTAAAATCAACTATATTTAGTGTTATGTGATTTATATAAAAGTTTTCATAATCTTATGTGCTGTTGAAAGTTACTTAGACCTCACTGCTACTCCAAATCAAGGCATTTTGTGGAATTGTATACAGTTATTGGTCTCACGTCTCCACACGTGTCTTGTAATTTGGCCTGGTGGTGTCACCTGCTTGTCTTATGGCAAACATTTTAGGCTAAGCAATATCTCCATGGAGACAATAAGCAGGTGACAAATCCTCTACCTAAAAATCTCCATTGTGTACAGTATAGTAGTATTTATACTGTAGTGGTTAATTGAGGTATTATGACTAGTTGTATTAGTAACAATACTAGTTATGGTAATTGCAGTAGTAATAGTGTTAGTTGTAGCATTAAGTACAGCATTGACAGTAATGCATAGCCTACTAGGTTGAAGGTTATAGGTTTGGCATTTTGGGGTTAACTGTAGGCTACTTTCCTCCTTAATTTTGTGTGAGTTTGTGTTTGTATATCACCGTAACAATATCGCATTGAGCGGCCCTAGTTTCTATTTTTGGCCTTAATCTTTTCTACCATCGATCTCACTGTCCTTTTCTGTACATCAGTGTCAGGCTGTTGCTAGGAGACAAGAAGTTAGGGCACGGTATAGGAAGACAATATGAGGTGTGACTTTTATATTGGATTTGGAGGCTATCACATGTCATGTTAGTTTGTCAATAAACTTGAGTATTGTAGAAAGATTGTGTTTTGCTTAGACATTGTAATCATTGGCTCACATTTCTTGATGAATAGTTGTCAGTCTTTTAAGAAAATGTGCTAAATTAGTCTATGCAAAAGTAGGACTTCACAAGTCCCGGTAACACCTATTAAACAGGAATACAGTATATAGGATATAGCTCAGAGCTCAATAAATCCAAAAAGTGTGCCAAGGTTTACTTTTTAAAAAAAGAACTATTATAATAATGAATAATATTTTTACATACTTTGTAGGCGTAGTATACGGGTTAACATGTAATGAATCTAGAGTTCACCATTGCACAAACCACACTGGTGCTGGACTGATACTAAACCTGGAACTAAAACTGGTCTAGAACCAAGTCTACTTCAGGAGTAAACCACACTGAAACCAATTATAGATGAATGTGTTACAAAAAATATGATAGATTTTTATCTTTTCTTATTATATTTAAACTTTCTGACCTCCCTGAACAAAAGTTCTTTCTCTTGTTGTTCAGGTGATGAAGACCTACCACATGTACCACACTGAGAGCCTGAGCGCCGAGAACAAACTGAAGGAAGCAGAGAAACAGGAGGAGAAGCACAGCCACAAGTCCAACGACTCTGGTCTCCTGCGCTATGGCCACGACGAGCGGCCGCAGAGACGCAGCTCCGTCAAGAAGATGGAGAAGATGAAGGAGAAGGTGAGGGATTTTAGGCTGCAATTACGGAGAAGGTGAAGGATTTAAGGGTGTAATTACCTCCACACATCATTTCACGGTCTTGTCGAGTTGACATTTCAGATTGTAAGAATTGGATAGTCTACTGATTATCTCAAGCTAATACCACCATGTGTATTAGAGCCGAATTACCACATATAATCCATTTTAATGGTAATAAACTTATCAGTCATTAGAGGTCAGATCTCTGGAGAGGCGAGTACCCTCACGGTAAGAATGCATGTGAGTGGCAGACTCAGAAAACTTACTTTAGGGACTCTGTAAGGGGTCTGAAACCTTCTTTTAGCCAGGGAAATGTTGTGTTGTCTGGAATATTCTTCAAAATTGAATAAAACTTAGAGATCTCCATGGAGACAAACAGGAGGCTCCACCAAAACAAGTATTTTTGGCAATAAAAAGCTTGTAATTAAAAAGATATACATTTTATACCATACTGTATTCCAGGTGACAGACCCTCTACCAGAAAAGCTGTATAAGCTATATAGAACACCTTTGCTATGGTGTAAGAATGTTTTATTAAAGAAACCGACAACTATTTGATGGACAGAGGAACAAAGTATTAGACTAGGCAAGTGTCGGGTGAGGACATAGGGCTCACACTATATGGAACAGTATGTTATTTCAAGTTAAGCACTGTCCAAATCTAATCTAATGTATAGAAGCATTTATAGTGCATTAGGAATCCATTTTACATCTTACACTGATGGCACTATCTTCTCCTTCTCCCCAGAGACAAGCAAAGTACTCAGAGAACAAACTCAAATGCACAAAAGCCCGCAACGACTATCTTCTCAACCTCACTGCGACCAACGCCCTGGTGGCCAAATACTACATCCACGACGTCTCAGACATGATTGATGTGAGTAGCACCTGCTTTCATTCTAAATATTGATTGTAGCTACAGCAACGCACATTTGTCTGCCATATTTCCTGTAATAATTGTTTATATGAAAAACATCAGTGTAGCTACTGTCTTTAGGAAATCCTTGTAGTTCAAATTCAAACTCACTGCTAGGCTAAACTGGTTATGCATATGTACCACAAGCTCTACTGACTAAACCAAACCTCATGACACATGTGGTATTATGAGCAATGAGAGTAATTGCAGGGACTTACATAGCATTGTTGTATTGCTAGGTTTCAGATGACAGCACAACATTGCAAAGGACTATTATATTTATGTCATAATGAAGGAATACTATTGTTAATTGCTGACGTTTCTTATATGGTAGCTAATTCAAATGTGTAGTTTCTAATAGAAATTACTGGGTTCGGCATTTGAGCTTTTTCCTTTTGGATATTTTGAAAGGAAATGTTATCAACAGGGGAAACTGGCTCATGACATTCATCACATTTCAGCAACACACAACAACTCACACTAAATTTAGCAAAATTCAGAAGACAACTAAACAAACGCTGATACACAGTATGAGATCATGAATGAACTTTGACCTCAGCAGGTAATGATTATGATTATTGGGAGAGAAAGTGCAAGGTGATAGGTTGAGATACTGCATGAGTTGTGCAAATGCACAGGAAAAGATTGAAGGATTGTTTGTTGATCTCATAATCCAGTTTGTAACTCATACATTTTATCTCCACACAGTGTTGTGACTTGGGTTACCATGCCAGTCTAGCACGCACATTGAGAACCTACCTATCTGCTGAGTACAGCTTGGAAACTTCTCGTCATGAAGGTCTGGACCAATTGGAGGGAGCAGTGGACGCTATGGACATCAGAGGAGACAAGCTCAAGTTCATGGACATGCACAGCCAAATATTCTGTCCTCCTGCACGGTTTGACTATCAGCCTCACATGGGAGACGAGGTGAGGGGAAGAGGAGGAAGAGGAGGGCTAGTGATGATCAGTGTTGGGAAATAACTAAATACATGTACTAAAAATGCATATTCATAAATCCAATTTTGAGTAACTGTATTCTGGTTCAGTTTCTTTTGGTGGTATGCAAAAAAGAATCCACTGTAGTACTAGAAATTCAGGCTTTAAACTGCCCAGTATCAGTGAGAGAAAAACAAAACACAGCTCTTGTGCATGCATGTGTAATTATTTGTTCTCTAATGAGTAATACATTAATGCTTTGCAAACTGGTAGTACACACACAAAGCTGTTTAGAACTTTATGTCACGTTTACTCACAAAATAATGCAACTCATTGTGAAAGTATTCTAAGTATTCAGAATACAGAACTCTGATTGTACCATGATTGTGTAACAATATGTTACAAAATACATTTTAAGTCAGGTCGTCAGTATTTTGTAACTAAATATATCATCAAAGTATTCTTTCCAACACTGCATGTGATGAAGTATAATGTATGCATATGGAGGCTGATTCTTATTCAAGGTGCTGTTGTCCTCTGTGGCAGGTGTGTCAGGTGAGCGCCCAGCAGCCGGTCCAAACAGAGCTGCTCATGCGCTACCACCAGCTGCAGTCTCGGCTCGCCACACTAAAGATAGAAAATGAAGAGGTAAGGGAAAAAAATAGGTGTATAATGTTACATAGACGACAACATAATAAACATGAACACACTGGATATGATAGTCCAAATGTAATATATTTAGAACTGTTGCAAATTTCAGTATGACATTGCTGTGACATTGTTGTGAGCTGAATCCAACCTGAATAAGTCACAAACAAGGTTCTTTCTATCGACTTTATTAAAAAAATTTGGTCAGATAATCAAAACTTTACCCTAACTCCTAACCCTTTAAGTAGTTACTAATCCCAAATCATTCTTAATAAACTTGTTAAAATTGAGTCTTCTTCACTATAATCAGAGCTGAATGACTAATAATGAGCCGTTTTCACTACTTAACAACACATTATAAAGTGAATGATGTAACTTTTCTTTTAAAATTTGTGAATCAAGTGAAATGTGAAACGAATATACAAGTAAAATATAAGTCATGATTAAATGCACATTGACAATACCAAGCCTGGCATGTCCATAGCCCTTCCTTTCGGCAGCCGTTTGAAATTGTGTATATATTTAAAATACAAAATGCCATGTTGTTGAGATATGCATCAAGGCGATTGCATTTAGTTTCTTCTGAAATGATGCAGACATTCCATATTAAAGTCCTGAGTCATTTATTCTTTTTATCAGATTTTTTAACAGGAAATTACTGTCTGTCAAAACATACAAGGTGCAGAGCCAGAAGATGAATTGCAGATCCTTATCAGAAGATGTAAGATAGCCCTTGAAGTTTCATTATTGCACTGATGTAGAGATGAACCTGTATTTTATTCTCTATAGCCTATTTACAGTACATTTTAAGGAGGAATAAAGAACTAGTCAAAACATACAACTAGTAATAGTGAATAATATTGATGGTTTGATACTAACAATCCATTAACCAAAAGTGTACCTTAAAGGCAAGGACATTAAATATTTAAAGTGTAGACTTAAGGTTAAGGTACACTTTATTTCCCCAAAGGGAAATTTGTCCTCTGCGTTTGACCCATACTTAAGTACTGCTGGGGTAACCTGTTACTCGTACTTTCCTGTCTACAGATTCTGAGATCCCAATAATGTTGAGATCTTTTACCAGTGCCACACAGCACCTCATTTTAGTCAATTAATCAATGCCCAAGACATGTCTTTAGAATTACTTTAGTGGACTACAGCTCTAATGTTATAGGGTAGGTGTATATGTTTTAATTGAAATGGACAAAAAGCTCAGTCAACTATTTATTTTCAGATTTATTTATCAATGACCTTAAATGAAAATTAATACTACTTGAGGAAGGACATTAAAGAAAAACTGATACACTTCCAGCCTTGCTCTACAGCAACAGACAGCCTTCTCCCTGGGATCCTTGTAGCATGTAACAGTAAACAGGAGGTCCTATGGGCTGTCACTTCACATCTGTATTCATGTGGTGTTGTGTTGGCCCCACACTGCAGACCCCCGGGCCGCTCAGGACCCTCTGACAGATATTGTTCAAACGTGACCAGGGTTTGAGTGAAGGTCAGGGCTGGTCTCATGAATATGGAGAGACACAGAGCTGGACCTCAGAGGAGAGATCAAACATGGTGGTCCTCTCAGACAACAACAGGGAAAACTGGGATAAGGCTTTGTACTGTGTTTCTGTCTATGTTATATACTATATATGCTTACTGCTTATTAGACATGGGCAATGTCAAATTACATATTGCAAATGTTGTTTTGAATATCCTGTGTATTGTTTATACTATTATCTCAAGACCCTGTTTAAAAATTTAAAAACCTCTTATGTTCAAAACAAGAGTATAAAGTGATATTTTTATGTTTCTTGACAAAATGTCCTCTGATCATTGTTATCAGGGTACAGTGTCTTTGATTTTTTTCATTGCATAATCCATGTCAAAATTTGTTGTCAGCATATGTTATTTTCATTTGCACAATATATTGGGGTATATTTAAAAAAAAAAAAAAACGATTCAAAGCAGCTCTGCTCATGGCTAATTCGTAATACATTGTTTTTGTTAGATCTTAGCAGTAGATCTGTGTATGTTGCACAACTTTTAGCGGCCGTCTTAGTCATTTAGTGTCAGATAGGCGTAGATTCACACTACTTCCTGTATGACACACTGAAGTTGCCTAATTGTTCCTGTCACCACTCTTCATGCTAATTGCGCTGCTGTTTACGGAGCTGTCAGTGCTGTGAAAATTCTCTATTGTGGCATCATCTCTGTGGAATCATGTGGTTTGTTTATACCCAACACCTATGAGAATTTTGTTTCTTTCTCTCTTTTCTTGTGTTTTATTCATGCATATTCAACATTTAACAAGCAACACACAATTTATGGGCATGGATGTCACAGTATCAATTTTTAGTGTTAGGATTATAGTGAGAAGGAATTTTGTGAGAAGATATTTGAGTGAGATTTGTAATTTGTAATCACTTATGAAATAGATTTCAATTTTTAACTGTACATATTTTCTCCACAGCATTTTACTATGACTGTTTACATACTAGACTAGAACAATCTTAATTAATTTGACAACATTAATGAAAATTAAGGATTTCACTGATGTCAAAGTGCAAATAATTGTTAAATTGCAATGTTTGAGTGTCATAACAGGAAAAGTTGATATATTTGCTGACTTTTTCAATCAAATCCAATTATAGAATTCTGTTCATGAGAAACTATAGTATAATTATAGCAGAAGTCCTAATGAACGGTCTCTACTTTTTCACTATATTAAATGCAGTTTTTCTATCCTGTGTGCGTCAGGTGAGGAAGACCCTGGATGCGACGCTGCAGACCCTCCAGGACATGCTCACTGTGGAGGATTTCGATGTGTCCGACGCCTTTCAGCACAGTCAGTCCACCGAGTCTGTTAAATCTGCATCCTCTGACTCCTACATGAGCAAAGCCAACATCGCCAAGAGACGTGCCAACCAGCAAGAGACAGAGGGCTTCTACTTTACTGTGAGAATAACTATATTATAGAGATGGGCAAAGTTAATGGAAAACACAACATATTTGTTAGGAAGTGGCAGCTGTTTTGTTGAATTTGCCATCAGTATGCCTATAATGAAACATCTACAGGTATCTATATGCAGTAGTAGTCAATAGTAAGTAAGCCAGTAATAATCAAAAAACAATGATCAGGTTGGTTGTTTTAGACACTAAAATGATTTGAATGGCATTATACTACTTCCTTTACCTAGAATGTTTCACAATATGGCATTAAACATAAACATTTTCTCTGTATTCAATTACATTTGACATGTGACTTGGCCCTGTGGCATTACTTTCTTGTCTCAGTGATGACAGATAAGTTAAATATCCTACTGCGAAAGATTGCTGGCAAGGCTGTCTAAGGTTGCAGTCCCTTAAAAGGATAGTGGATATATATATTGTATATTGTATGCAGAGCAAAACTAATTTACAGACGTTTTTACATTGTATCCTGTAAAGTCTGTATTTCCCATAGCAATCTTTTGAGTGCTGTCCACTACTTTATCCCTAAAATACATACATGATATACTATACACTGACATGCCCAAAATATAACAACATTTTTAATTCACAGAAATACAAGGAGTACTTGAATGGCAGCAACCTCATAGTGAAACTGCAGGCCAAGCACGACCTTCTGAAGCAGACACTGGGGGAAGGTGAGTGTTATATAACAGATGTCGAGACCACTGGGCCTCGGTCAAGTTCACAGTTAAAGGTTAAAGTGTTTACATTTGAAACTGAGCAACCAGGGGTCCTAGCCATCTTCATTAGAGTCAATAAATGAATGCACTATAAAACATGAAGACTAGAGCAGTGCTTCTCATGTAGTGGTATGGGTGCATCTTCTGGTACATACACTTTCTATGGCAGGGTGTTGTCATGTTTAATCATACAGATCTGAAAGGTTAAATAAGATATATGAGCCACTGCTTGGTTCTTATTAAGTCTAGGTTCACTTGTGTACTTTCTGTTTTATTTTTAGTGAATTTGCATAAATCATACATGAGTAATTCCAAATATCTGGTTTTGTTCTGGTCTACTTCTTAATAGTCTTGGTTAAGTCATGGTTCAGATCTGGTTTAATCCTGTTTGTCCCTGTTAATACAGTGTCTTGTTAGTACTGGTATATTTGGGTATCTGCCCAGATTTACAACTGGATGATTACTGTTTAGTCCTGTTTTTGACCTAAGATCTAGTTTAGATCTTGTTTGTCCCGTTTTTGTAGTAGTCTTTGAATTTTCATAAAAGCTGGGTGGAACATTTGAGAATCACTGCCCTAGATTCATGTTTTTTTATTATTATTTTATATGTAGAATCTATACATCTACAGAGATACATTCACAGCTTTCAAGTTCCTGTTCCACAATTTTGGGAACTTTTCACCATTCTAATTCTAATTTTTCCTCACACTGATACCCATGGATATAAAAACAATCTCATAATCCTTTTTAAATAGTTCTCATAACTGTATAAAGCATGTGAACAACAAGTAGCCTACATAGTCCTCATCATCTTTCTGCTTCTGTCCTCTTCTGCCTCTTAACTCCAGTGAGAGTGCTGCTTTTATCTCAGGATTAAGTTTATTTGACGTAAAGTAAGCTCTTGCTACGAGCTACTTCACACATGATGTGATTTTCAAACAGACATTTAAGAGTCACTGATCAAAGTCACTGCCTCCCTCACTGCAGCCAGTCCAAGAGGGATCATGAAGTATCCACGTGGTATTGAACAGGGCCAAGTTCCTCCCTTGTTTCCCTGGAGACCACTGCCTTATGGGGCGGGTATTAAATTAAAAAAAGAAAAAAAAAAAGAAAATTGGCTTTTAAGTATTACTTTTTTATTCAATCTAACCACTGAACATTAATCTAGATTCATGCACATGCAGAGATGGAAGAGCCACATTGTTACTTCATAGATATATTGCTCATGTATAACAAGTAAAAGTATTAAAGGTTTTCATTCAAATAAAATAAAGTTGATGAGTTTGATGAGTACGACTGTAAATTCAGTTATTTCTAGATTTAGACCTAGAAGTTAGAACTTATTGTCACTTGCACTAAATATTACAATAAATTAATAAAAAACACAATTTAAAAGCAAATGGTAATTTATTTTGATTTGATTTGATTTAATTTATGTAAATAAAAAAAACGACTAAGTATAAGATTAGAAATTACAAATGGAAATTGGAATATAGTTCAGATTAGGACACTTCTTAAACAATAAAACAATAAAGTAGTTTTTTTTTAATCCCCAAATAGCACTTCTATAAAATTCAACTAAATTTGTCCTGACTTCCTGGTTGCCCCTGGAGACACTTCCCTTTGGGGCCGTTTCCAGGGTGACCACTGAATGACCGCGGCCTGGCTCAGAGACAAACCCGCCATGCTGCTCGCCCCATTCATGGGTCTGAATAGAGGCCCGCTCTCTCATAACACCCTTTCTGTGTCCATCTGCCAGCCCTCCACTGCACTTTAGGCACACAAGTCACTCTGTGCTCAAGTTTACTAATGCAGCATTTGGCTTTTCTGTTACAGGGGAAAGGGCAGAATATGGAACAACAAGGTAAGATACACAATCACTGAAACATACCAAAGAACCGTCTCTTCTAGTAAATTGGATATTGTCATAGTTTTAGATTTATAACTCCAAAATCTTCAAAATTCTCATGCACAAACTTAATATTATTTGTGACAGACTGGCTCTACAAACTTGCCATATTAAATTCATGGCTTGGTTGATTAATTGGATTTTATAATAATAATAGTTAGACTTTTGTTGATTTATGCTGTCAGATGAGGCACTGAATCAAACCTTGAGCCAGTTTCTATTTCAGTAATTAGTTATTTTAACTATAAACCAAGTCAACAAATCTGCAATTTGACAGTTAAACAGCAAATTCCTCCATAAAATTCTGACCTGTCCTCCCACTAAAATTTAAATAGGGATTCAATAATCAATAAAAATAATGTGATGTCATGTGATCGTAACCATTAAGAACATACATATCTAGGAATACTAATATGCAAATATGTTACACACCAACCAGACAATTTGCATGAAAATACTAATGTCATGCCGTCTGTGAAGTGTATATGGTCATACACTGTTGCCCATAAATTTGAAAGGACTTTTTATTTGCTGATAAATGTGTTATTTTCATAGATTTTCTATTTGATTAATGCACAGCCATTGTCCTATACTGTTTTACACACATCGGTAAGTGCATTCAACCTGACTGTGTATAGTAATTCATCACATTTATTTACCACTTAACTACCTCCATAGACACTCGAAGCACTTTACATTGAAGATCCACTGACCCATTAACATGAGCATCCAGTCATTGATGCATAAACAGTGGAGGCATGGAGGGTTAAGTGTCTTGCCCAAGGACACAATGTAGACTGTAATGGTGGGAGCTGGGCTTGAACTGCCAACAGTCAAATTAGTTAACTCAACCACCTACCAGTATTTCATTGCAAAGAAAATAAACTTAGTCCTAGTTCTTCCGGTGATATTAAAACGTGTAACTTTGATACATTACACATATTTAAATTCTGTATGTTTCGGGTATCGGTTCACTTTATAGAGATGTTATTGCCTTGTCTGTAATGTTCCGCAGTATGGCATTAAACTTGTGCATTGATTCAATTACAGGTGTTTTATTACTCAAAAATACTGTAAAAAACATGCATTCTTACTGTGAGCAGGCTTGGCTCTCCACAGTCCTGACCTGTAACTTTGCCTGGAGGTATCACCTGTTTGTCTCCATGGAGATAGATACATTTAATGCCAAACTCTGGAACATTCTTGGCAAAACAGTAACATTTACATGAAGAGAAGCTAATGGAAAATGCCAGCGTTATGGTCAACAGTGCAGCTTCATGTATTCATTCACAATATTCTTGATAACCATGTACCAACAGTCCACCCCACCCATCTCCCCCCAGGCCCCCCACTCTCCCCCCTAAACCCCAGAGAATGAGGAAGTATAGACCTCGTCCCGCCTTTAACCGTAAGCTGTTTAACGGCAATATGGCGGCCTTCATCAAGGTACCAGCTCCTCTGTGCCTCCTGTCTCTGCGTGAATTCAGCTGTTTACATGTCCTTAAGGGTCTATTTTTCTGCCTTTGACCCAAAATACTGACTCCTTCCTGCTCACTGCTTTTACTATCAATACTTCAATGGGGAGGGGAGTGGTAACATGTGGTGATGGTATCTTTTACTCTTGCATTTTCTAAATCAATACATATTTTGTTTCAACCCATGGGCTCAAACACAGCAATAATGCAAAACAGGCTAGGACAAACAAGCTGCAATCAGAGGAAGTTGCATCTGTAGTTGTCATTTTGTGAATTTGGGTGCATTGGCCTCTTGTCTGTGTAGTCTGTCTTTCTCACTAACCTGGTCTTGTTGTTGTTTCCTCTCTCGTCTTACTGCTCTGTGTGTCCAGGGGGAGAAGAAATGTCCGTGCCAGGAGTCAGGTACATGGCCTATATAGTGGGCGTAGATAGTACTAGACTCGAAGCTAACCGCTCTCCTGCTCTCCTGTTTGCATTGCTATTGATTATGTGTATTGCTATGTTTTTTGCCTGCTCTCAAAATCCACTAACATTTTCCTTATTTACTAAATGAATGTCAAAATTGCTACCCAGTAATAATGTTTTGAATGCATTAAAGTGGATTATTTTCAGTTGTATTGTTCCCGTAATAGTCAATGTGTTTTTTCTCTGTAGGACTCTGGGCAGCCAATACCAGCGGTGGTTGAGAGCTGTATTAGGTACATCAATCTATATGGTGAGTATTTGGACTGGGCAATATGGCAAACATAATCACACATTTCTTTACATGTACTAAGTGCTCACGATTTAGGGGTAGAATAATTTTTGGTCTTTCAGTCTGATTTTGATGAAAATAAACAAGATGCAAGATTTAACACATCAAACTTATTCAACAATTGAACACTCCTCCAACTAAAATGCTTGTATTCATTTTGAATTACAGTCATAGTAAATTTTTTGTATGTATTTGCAATATACCAATAGTATTTTTTTTTTTTTACCAGTATATAGCAGACGTGAAACATGATCTCCCTCTCCTCACTTGGCCTTTGTTCAGGCTGACCTGTGCTCTCTGCTCTTCCTCTGTTAGGCCAAAGCTGGCGCAGAATCAGACAGCAGCAACGTAGATAGCATCTAGTGGTGATATGTGAGAATACACCAGGGGCAGATCGGGACAATCTAATTACAGATAGTAGCTTTAATCTACACTTTTTAACTTTAACCTAAACACTTAATACCGCGTTATATGATTATTTCTCAAATAAATAAAAAAATAGAAAATGGCTGGATTAAGGTCTCATTATCTCCTTTGTAATAAATAAACAATTAGAAACCTAAGGGGCCTCTTGGCATCAGTGTTAATTGATTGTAAAGATGTAAACCGAAATAATAAGCACATGGGGTGCACTTTTCATTTTCAGTGTCACTCACAGAAACCATCATTACTGCACTAACAATGTGTAAGTCGTAACAAACATGTGCTTTTAATTAACTGAGACACCTCACAGCAGGGGGTGCTCTTAATCTTATAGACTCTGCTTCATGTATTTTTCATCACACCAGGCACCACACACAAACGTGGCTTCATTTTTCATCCACAGTCCATACATTTGAATATTATATGTTTAGTTCAAAGCAAATATCTTTAACTGAAAGATTTAGCATTATTTTTTCATTAGTTATGGTCCTATTTGGCTTGTTCTTTATTGAGTTAAAAATTAGGCACGTCTTAAGTAGAATGCAGTGTTTCACATATTAATATAGGTTATACACAGAGTTGCTTTCATGATGCAATGATTTCCAATATACCTTGCTTGGGGATAGCACAAATACTGTAGAATTTGGATGAATAATTAAATAATACATTAATTTATTATTAAATGTATTATTTAATGTATTTTTGGCTAGAAAGTTACATACTGTGGCTTTAAAGAATACATTTTCATATTTGCAGGTCTACAGCAGCAAGGTATATTCCGAGTTCCTGGATCCCAAATAGAAGTCAATGATATTAAGAATGCATTTGAAAGAGGTAAGTTTATTTGAGTGTCTTTAACTCTCTAATTGAATAGATTTTTTTTTTCATTGAAGTTAGAGTGGCCAGATAAAGTGATGGTTGTAGCTTTAGAAGTATACCAAAAACATTTATAGTAGTCACAATTTCTATCTTGGAAAAATGTATTTTTAAAATTCGGCAAATATAATATTTTCAATACATCAGAGGGGATAAAAAGTGAGACTCCACTCTGCTGATTTGTAATGTTATTGGCAGAATTAGTTCCCTGATTGGTGTCTGGGAATAATTCCTGAGAGTTACATCTGTGTACAGGGGAAGACCCACTCATGGACGACCAGGCAGATCATGACATCAACTCTGTAGCCGGCGTTCTCAAACTTTACTTCAGAGGTCTGGAGAATCCTCTGTTCCCAAAAGAGCGCTTCCTGGACCTCATCTCCACCACAAGTGAGTAAAAAATCTAAAAAATCAATAACCAGACTAATACATTCTTAAACAAATCAAAACTAGATACTTGTTTGAATAAGTACAATCAATACTGAAAAAAATGCATTGACAAGACAAAGTTGAACCTTTTCTGAATAATCGTAGAATGGTCTGAATCTATATCAGTACCGCACGGTAAAATTAAAGGTACAACAATATTATGTTTTGAAAATTACATTACATTGTCAGTAAAGTTTGTTTTTACTCATCATTATGGTATCAGACTTCAAGCCTTTTTCTTGGAGTAGAAATTTTGGTTTGATATTTTAGTATTCTGACAACACGGCCAGTGAGTCAGTATCTATATACATGCATAGTTAGTATACATGTCTGTTTTTTGGGGGAAGCCTGGTTGATTCTAACTTTGATTTTTCTTTTGTTTATTGTTTTAGAGTTGGATTCTGGGGCTGAAAGAGCTCGTCACCTTCAGCAAATTATTGGGACTCTACAAAGACCTGTCATTATTGTCATGAGATATCTCTTTGCTTTTCTAAACCAGTAAGTTGTGCTTTATATATTTTACATTTTTTTGTTGACAGTGACAAACATATTTTAGGGTTGTAGGTTCAAATCATCTTGCCTGAAGCTGATAATGTCATATTAATAATAATGTCATATAAATGTGTTCTACACTCACAGGTTAGCAATAGTTAAAATGCAGTATTATTAGAACAACAGCTCTAACAGCTTGTAGTTTTTGATGTTACCTATATTTTTCTTTCCTTTTTTTTTTTTCTTCTCTACAGTCTATCCCAGTACAGTGATGAGAACATGATGGACCCCTACAACCTAGCGATCTGTTTTGGTCCCACTCTGATGCCCATTCCAGATGACCAAGACCCTGTTTCCTGCCAGGCCCACGTCAACGAAGTTATCAAAACTTTTATTATCCACCATGAGGCCATTTTCCCAACCCACAGAGAGCTGGACGGGCCCATGTATGAGAAATGCATGGCTGGAGGGGAGGAGTACTGGTGAGCAAGGACTGTTTCTGTTAAGATGTACAGTAAAATAGTGTACTTTTGTAAGGGCTATGGATGCTTGAATTTACACAAGTAGCAAAGGAAAAGGGGGAAGAACATAATATTGTTAAAGGAGACATATTATGCAATATATTTATAATTTACTTCTATGAGATTTTAACCATGTTTAAATAGTCTTCCATCATCATTAGCTTACTGTGGAGTTGTGTTTGATTGATCTATGCATGTTTCAGTAAATACAATTGAGGGTGGAGTGCTCATCTTTCACCCACCTCCTATCCCCACCCACATCCCTGTAATTACATGTAATTACCTGAAACATTCTGACTTCAGCTCATACACAAAAGAGGCAAAGCCAGGGGCAGAGAAGCAGTTCTGTCATTTTCAACATGAAATTTGGTGTCACAGTTTTAGATTAATATTTCACTTTACAATGAATATAAAATGTAGTAGTTTATTATTAATACCAAAAATAAAGAAACTATAATATATCTCCCTCAATGGCTTTGTTTTATCTGTTATTAGTGAAAGTCCCCACAGTGATGCAGGTGCTCTAGACGAAGTGGACAATGGCACAGGACCAAACACAAGTGATGAGGGTAAGTCATAACAACTAGTACATCAAATAAACAAATGTGATTGAATTATATTGCATTGTGTGTATCTTGACAGAACTGGAGCAGATAGAGGCCATAGCAAAGTTTGACTATGTGGGACGCAGTCCGAGGGAGTTGTCCTTTAAGAAGGGGGCGTCTCTGCTGCTGTACGTGCGAGCGTCAGACGACTGGTGGGAGGGACGACACAATGGAGTAGACGGGCTCATTCCACATCAGTACATTGTGGTACAGGACATGTAAGGACATTATATGTTTGTCTTCAAATATTTATATAATGTTACAGAAAAAGTGAATGTACAGCAACTTGCAATCAGAGAAAAAAGTTAAATTTTAATAAGTCCAGTTCTTATTCTCAATATTAACATTTTATAGTTCAAACTGCCACAGTGTCAACACAATACTTTGTTTTAATTTTAGGATTTTTTAATGCAGTTATGAATAAAAACTGTTGAGGTTAGATAATTTATTTGTTTTGGAATATTATTGAAACAATCGTACATTTCAATAATAATTATTATCGCTATCATTATTACAGCGTGTTTTATCTTCGTAGATATTAGAAGATTGTACACATCACCACATACATGTGGTGATGAAGCATTAACGAGTTGCTTTAAGTAAAAACTGATTGTGGGAAGTCATAATGAATGTGATATGCCTGTGCATCAGGGACGATGCCTTCTCAGATGGGCTCCACAGGACGGACAGTGAGGCAAGTAGCGGTCACCATGATGACAGAGCAGCCAGAGACCACCAGACTGAGCACACGCCTGAGCACCGCTTTGGACCAGCACATGGGAGGTGAACAGCAACCTTCGAACCCTCTTTTATTTTGTAATCCCAGTTACATTTATTAACAACATATTTTTAGATATAATACTGTCTTATGCACACAGTAACCACATTTAAGAAATTTTGCTTTCAAAACCTGCAGTTTTGCTAAGAAACTTAATTTTATACCTGTTCAGGGTAAGAGTGCGTTCAGACGGTGGTGCTGCAGTTCCTCGCCAACGAAACACAGGGGATGTTCACAGTCCACCTCGAGCAGAGCCCCCTAGAGTCCTGCCGCGGCCCTGCAGCCCTCAGAAGATTGCAGTGAGCAGGGGTCCCATAGACAGCCCAGAGAAGAGGCGCCTCACCACCTTTGGGAGTGCAGGACACATCAACCATCCCGACAGAAAGGTCTTCTCCGACAACCACTCTCAGCGCGCCTCCCCCAGCACCACACGCCACGCCAGCCTGGGGGACCACAAGACCCTAGAGGCTGAGGCTCTGGCTGAGGTGAGGGTCATTTTACTCTTATAAAAACAGCAATTCATTAAACTGAACCTAATGTTGTCTCTATATTGGTTTGTAAGGACATAGAGAAGACCATGAACACAGCTCTTCATGAGCTGAGGGAGCTGGAGCGTCAGAACGTAGCAAAGCACGCCCCTGATGTGGTGTTGGACACTCTGGAACCTTTGAAGCACCCTGGGGTGCAGGATGTCCCAGGCAGCCCCCTCCACACCATGGTGATCCGGGACCCTGACGCAGCACAGCGGCGCAGTAGCAGTAGCTCTTCTTCTGAAACAATGACCACCTTTAAACCTGCTCTGACCAGCCGCCGGCCTAGCGCCCCCATGAGGCCTCCCCCAGTACGACCCGTGAGACCTGCTCCTGTCCTGGGACAGGGACCGCACCGCTCCAGCAGCTCTAGCTCCTCTGGTTTAGGCAGCCCCGGCATCACACCCACAGAGAGGGGCTTCCCTAAAGCGCCCTCCCCTTCACCCTCCACCTCCTCATCCTCCTCAGACAAACAGGGCAACATGTAAGGACAGGGAACTTTGGATGATTGTAATGTCTCACTCACATTTCTAAAGACACCTGGTCTGTATCAATATGAAACTACCTTAACACTGCTGCTGCTGGTCTCATGGCCTTTCTCTGGACTGGTCAGTGATCAAAGACATGAAATAAAAAAGCATTTTAAAGAGACTTCCACAATCAGATACTGCTATGCTGAGTAGTCATGCTGGACAGAAAGGGATGCACTGGAAAGCTTGTAGAGAAATATTACATGTTTTGAGCTGTGTACGTAAACTATATGTATGCTATTACAGAAACACCACTATCAATAGGCCCACAGGGTTAAATACATTTCTAAGACTATTGCTTTATCTGAGTGGGGTATAAACCCAGTTGGCCTTTTTCACATTATGGTCAAGTCTAACAAGGAGTTACAAGAAGTTTATGTCTGAGCTGAAATACGTACAGTTGCACATTAACAAACACTGATGCCTCAGAAACCTGTCCTGACATCATGAGCAATTAGATATTGTTTTTATATTGATCCTTGGAGACCCAAGAACATACAAGTGACAACTGCACAGATTTTTGTTTAAATGCTATGTCACCACAGCCTAGTTACAAAACACTATATTTTATAAAGCACAGATGTGACAAGCATTTGACACGCCCCTGACTTCCTTGTCAGTCTGATTTTCCTGCACTGATGCCAGACCAACTGTGGCTGTCAGGCAGAGACACACAATCAATAGTAATTTGAGACTTGAGCTTTTTAGTCCTGCCCACCCTGTACTCATGCTGTTATGAGAAAACAAGAATACATTTTCTTTTCAACCCTAGTAATCTATCATTTAATAATACCACAACCGTAGTTCAAAGTGTAAACCAGGTAACCATGATATAGAGGACAATGAAATTATTGTGGATTATGTATACATTCCATCTATAAGTAATGTAAAAAGAAAAATATAGTATAAACATTACCTCAAAAAATAAGTACAAATCAAGAGACTAATGCACTTCTACACTACAGGGAAACTGCTGCATTGTGAGTCCTGTATTTTACTAGAAAATTATAGCACATCCATATCAAGTGTTTACTGTAAGTGCTGTGTGTCGTCTTGACGATGAAAAATATATACGTGTAATAATGTAGGTATTTGAATGACTATATGCATACTGTTAAAGATGTAAAAATAACATTGTATGATAGGAATGGAATATAATATCATCTCTTTTGTAACTCTTATCCTTGCACAAACATTAGCGGAACAATAAATTCTTAAAATTTTATATGTGGGCCTATGCTGATTTAGTCCCTAGAATGAATGGTGAATGGTGAATTTTTATCACGTTTGTTTGATACATTGATAAGCAGACGGAAAACGGATGTGTGAAATTATAATAGTTGTACAGCGCCATCTCGTGGTCACAATGTTGAAATACAGAAAATTTAGCATGAAAAGCACATTTCATTATAATTACATATTACGTATATAAACACATAGATGTATATCAAAGGATTAGTGGAATAAGTTTGACGGGAAGGCCTACATAGTTTGTCTTTTATACAGTCTATGCTTACAATGCAGTAGTCTACACAGTAGGTCTAAAACGTGACGAAAACTGTTGTGATCAATAAATATTATCACCCAAATGCTATAATTGATAAAAATGTTATGTTAAAGGTGCACTGCGTAACTTTTCTGGAGGAAAGTATGCCAGCATATGTCTCTCCATGGGATATGTCCAATGAAATGAATTTACCAAAAATGTTCCATAGTATATGACATAAAATTTTATCTATGGAGACATGCAAGTGACGCTATGTGAAATTACAGGTCAGATCTGTGAAGAGGAGACTCTGCTCACAATATGAAGGTAGATTTATCTACACTCTTTACTGTTATTCTTCTACATGTTACAATATGCACACTATAGTCTATATAAACTGAGTAATGCCTGTCTTACTCTGACCAGTAAATCAGGAAACTCATTTAAATAGATCTTTTAGGTCTGGGCTATAGTACCATCTGTGGCCAGTGGATGGAGACATTGTGTAAATGAAACATGAATCATAATGTCACGGCAAACTTGGACTTAAATTTAAAGCAAGGGTGTAGCCTGTGCGCTTACCGATTTGCATAAAGTACTACTATCACAAGTAAACCCGGGTTACCAGTGCCTTAACCTCAGAGGACACATGGTGTTTTTTCTCATTCTTATACTGTATGCCTCATCTGAAAGCATCTTGGAACCTTCAGAATCCTCTCCCTGAGCTGCATTGGCTGCACTAGCACTGATTCCTGACTGTCTGCTGCTGCCGGGGTTTAGTGTCCATTCAGATCTGAGAGCTGCCTTTTAGGTTCATTGAAACTGGAAATCCAAATGAGAGACTTGTGAGGCACATTCTGCTTTCTGATTAGAAATTCAAACCAAATAACCAAATTAAAACAATGTCCAATGTTTTTTTTTTTTGCGTGTGTGTGTTTTGTGATTAAGATTAGCATTCATTATTAGTAATTAAATGGTGCACAGCATAACATTTCAGGTTGGGGATCTGCCATCATGTAGATGCTACTGATTTGCCTGTAATATTTTACCATATGGCATTAAACTTGTATTAGATGTCTTTAATCAGTTATGGGGGTTTTTATAGCTCAAAATAAAACATGCATTCTTACTGCTGGTCATCAGTGGGGTCATCTCCTCACAGATCTCCCCTGTAAATTGGTCTGGTGGTATCTCCCGCTTATTTCTGTGGAAAAAATTTAATGTCATATTTTGGAACATTGCAGGTAAAGCAATAACATCTCCATGGAGACAAGCAAGCAACTGGCGGGCCATCTTCCAGAAAAGTTACTCAGTGCACCTTGAATGCAATATGTAATTTTAACATGTTTACCTGGATCTGGGGACAAAGGCCAAGTTTATGAACAAATTAATTTCAGTTCAGCCCAACAGTCATCGCATGCACGTCAGACAAAATAGATTACTCATGCCCTTTAATGTAATAGGTTAAATTTGAAAACATTACAAAATGCTCTGAGACTAATCCTAGCTTTAGATGGATTATGAATTGATCAGCTCTAAACATGCACAGTCAAAAGTTTCAGATATAGCCTTTAGGCATGACTGTGTAAATAGACGCATGGACTATTTTCTGCTTTTTGTTGATTTGTTCCTGATCAAGTTAATTCCACTTGTCTGTTTCATTTCTACCATGGACTCAGCTGTAATGCAGTTAGGTGTGTGTTTATTGAGATTAAAGTGAGAATGTAATCACGTTAGAGCCTTGCCTCAGGCCCCTCAGTGCCATGAGCGGCCCGGACCACCCATGGACCCGTGCCTTTTATCGCCCGGCCCTGGCCTGAGTTCAAAAGGCCTTTTCATTAATGCACTGATACGATTAAGCAGGCACCAGAGTCAGATCTGAGGCCAAACTACAGTCATTCAGTGATTAATGCGCTGCCTGTTTCAAAATCTTTATTTTAGACCACTGATTCAAGACTGATGCAATATGTAGCACTGGAACAATAGCCCCAATACAATATGTAAAGATTTATTATTCAGAGGTATTAGCGCAAGGCCTTAGAAACTTAAGTTAAGTCTCTTTAAAAGTGGAGTTACCACAATTGGATCAGGCAGCTAACACTTAGGCTGATAGTTTTACTTTTGTAATGTTCATGGGCAGTGTTAAACCTAAATGTAGCAACAACAAAAAAAAAAAGCTGAACTCAAAACAAGGAGTCTTCTTACCAATATTGCTTCCTCTATCATAGTCAAACATCTGTGAAGGACACTGACGAAAAACACTTTTGGACCATTTTGTTTAAAGGTAAAGTAGTTTATGCACAAGCTGTATTACAAAATCATCTAGACCAAATGGATTTTCAGTCCTGAACTTAACACTTGACCTGTATGTTTTTGGAGTATAAAGTCTATGGGGACACCAGCGCTAACCTGGCTCACACCAGATTGATATATATAGCACTCTAAATTAAATTAAGTTACGCACTAATATCACAAGTGTATTTTGCTGTGCAAGATCACACCAGAGCATTTGGAGGAAAAAGACATAAAAGGAATCAGGACCTTCTGCCAATTTTTTCAAAGCATATTTCTGATAAGATGTGATATTTTTCTTAACTCCTTTTGTGGCCTGTATAGGTTAGGGTATAGCACATGTACTATATATAGACCTTCTCTATAAGCCGTCCATACAGTTGTTAAACAGGCAATTGCAAATACCCTGTAGTCATCTCTGTGTCCTAAATGTGCTTAAGTCTGGCTTTCTTTTTGATCTTTGCTCTCCACAAAGTTCGTCTTGACAAATTGTTACATTTAGTGGAACTCTCTCACTGTGTGCATCATTGGGTTTCTGTAGAGCAGAAGTGATGAGAGGCAGCTGTTGACAGACTGGCCATGTAAATCTCTCCACCACCATCATTTATATCACTCCTAACTGTTATCTTTGAGTTTGGTCCTGTGGTCTGTCACGCTTTAAGGATACTGTACTAAGTAATGACAACGCTGAAGTAACTATAGAAAACACAAACGGGATTTATGCAGATAACATCTTGAAGCTATTGCAAGACACGTGGAGGCTGTAGGTTCAATTCTCTGTGTACCTATTCAAAAATATAATATATTTATGGAACTTGCACACTGCATGATTGACAGATGCAACATTGATAGCAATGTCAACTTTTCATGTTTTTATCCCTAAGGTGAACAAACACTTAGAAGTGAAAACTCCATAAAAAACTCAAATACTATAATACTAATATTATTTGCTGTCTGATAATCTGTGTCAATGGCATTTCCAGTCAAGGCATCTTATATGTCTTGCCCATGAACACAACAGTAAGGTTGAGCGTTAGGATCTGACTTTATCATATGGCCGCTCTGCCACCAGAAGCGTCTACTTAAATTTCATAATGTAACCATGACCTTCAGGATCAGTACAGTAGGTTATTTATCTGTCTAATCTAAATGAACATAACTGCAACTTTTACACAGTGGTGGAAGGAGCCAATTGTAGAAGTACAGATATCAATGCAAAAAAAAAAAAAAAAAAAAAAAAAACACAAAGTAAAAGTAAATGTATCACATGAAAAAAATCTGGTCTCAAATAATATAATAAATTCTTTACTTTTCAGTCTTGCTCAAAAATGTAGTGAGTAGAAAGTACAGATACATGTTCTCAAATGTAGTGAAGTAAAAGTAAAAAGAATCCACTTTAAAATGTACTTGTAAACTAAAGATGCCTAAATTTTAGTAAAGTACTTCACTACTTTTACTTCATTACATTATATTACATTACATTACATCCCATGACTGCTTTTACATAATGCAATCCTAATGGCAAATCTGATAAACCAATGAACTTCCTTTATGCCCTGTGCGAGTTAATAGCTCATGGTATGGGCTGTAGTCACGGAATGCATGTGTCATATACACAACTTGGTCTTATTTGCTTTTCTTTGTAGTATGGAGAAGAATAATGTCTTTGTTGAATTCCATTGTTTAAATTTGACATGAAAAGCTTATAGTTTAATATTTATGATTTAATATTTTTGTAATCATTTAGCGCACGCTGCCTGGTACGATGAAACAGGTTTAGATTTAGTTCTTGTTCTAACGCAGCTGCAAACATTTGTCTTGTTATCTCTTCTTCATGTGTCTCTCTTTTTGGTTGGACTCCCCACGGTCTCCCAACTCAACAATGTTTCATGCAGTTTTCTCAAAAAAACCCAAGTCATCCCAAATGCTTCCCAGGCATTCAACTGTCATCTGTTGTCTATTGGCTTGTATGATTTGATTTTGGTTCATATTTTTGAAACTGAAAAACTCAAGGCTGGTCGACATTTCAGACATATGACTGTAGCTAAGGCATGATGCAAGGTGAAACCAGATGAAACAATCTGGAGAAAGATAAAAGCATCCATCTTGAAAAATGTCTCCCACACATGTTCAGGAACAGAGATTGTTTATGTTGAATGTATACGCTGTTTTTCCGGAAAGAGACAACCAATTTTCTCATACAGTAAATACACTGTAGTGTAGCGAGGAACAGAGACTTCTGCTATTCCTATAGAAACACAGGTGTTGCAGTGCACTGTTCTGTGCATTAGAGAGGAAACTCATGTGTAAATGTTGTCATGTATTTGCTGGAACACGGGCAGTATTATACTGTAGCTATAAGCGCAAAATGTACTCTGGAAATCAAATGAAATAGCTGTTAGAGAAATTCCATTTGTGTGCAGTACTGAGCTGGCAGTGAATGCCCT